TTGTTCGACTGGTATTGATTGCTACCTTCTTGTTTCTCCTTTCTTGAATCTTATCCAATGTATCAACAGTGATCCATTCCTTGTGATGGTGCTTCTTGTGACCCAGGACCTCATGACATGTTGAAGTAATCGCCTCTTTGATCCCCTTCCAGTTGCTCTCCACAGTAGTTCCTTCTCCATTGAGTAGATCATGAAAGGCCTGGAACTTGTTGCTGAGGACTATCTTGAATTTGTTGAGTTTGTTAGTATCCTGAAGAAAGGCCGTATTGAACTTTTGTGATATTGTCCACCCCATTGTCCAGTGCTTCTTGAGTTTCAATTTCATCTTGGCGACCAGCAAGTGATGATCTGATGCTATATCAGCTCCTCTCTTGGTTCTCACGTCCTCTATAGTCCTCCTGAACGTTTTGTTGATGCAAATATGGTCGATTTGGTTTTGCGTGGTGTGATCCGATGAAGTCTATGTGGTTTTGTGATTGTGTTTATGTGGGAATATGGTGCCGCATATGACCAGTTTATTGAAGGCACATAGGTTTGCAAATCTCTCACCATTTTCGTTTCTTTCTCCCAGTCCATGTCGTCCCATGATGTTTTCATATCCAGTGTTGTCCGTTCCAACCTTGGCGTTGAAATCTCCCATCAGAATGGTCAGGTCCTTTGTTTGGCACTTCTCGACGATTGACTGCAGCCTATTGTCTTCATTGTAGTCGTTGGTAGGTGCATAGCATTGGATGATATTCATTGTAATGCCCTCCTTTTTTGTTTTGAACGAGGCTTTGATGATCCTTGGTCCATGAGATTCCCATCCTATAAGCGCATTTCGGGCTTGTTTAGACAACATCAATGCAACTCCTTGTGTATGTGGGGCATTTTCTTCTTCGTGGGCTACTATATTTGTCTGCCAGTTTCTTCGTTGTCATATAGTCGTCTTTTGGTGGCATTGGGCCCTAACCACACAATCCTCAAAGCTGAACAAGAAACATTCGGGTAAATGGATGTTCAACATTTACCGTGGAGGAAAACTCAACGATGAGGAAGGCGGGAACAATGAATGAAATTAATTCGAATTGACGAGATGAGATGGCTCAGCCTCGCAAGCGTGGTCACTCTCTACAACTTGCTTTTACTCATATTAAATATGTTGTTCTATCTTCAGCCTGAATGTGTTCTCCATCATACATTGGTCAGTGTATACAATGATGTGACTTCCACGTAAGATCTAAAAAATTAGGCAGTTACATCATAACAAATCTCATGCCTGTCTTCACTTCTCGACGTAATGTGTTCTCTGGTCTTCCTCTTTTCCCTTAGCCTTTAGGATTAAATGTGGGGGCTTACCTTGTGACGTAGTTGGGTGCTTTCCTCAATGCATGTCCTATCCACTTCCAGCGCTTCCCGATTTTTTCCTACGCTGGGATCCGGATTGTTCTCTCCCACAGTGCGTTGTTGCTAATAGCGTCGGGTCATAGGATCCGAAGTAGTTAATAAACACCTGTATCTTCTGTATGATGGCTTTCGTAGTTTTCCAGGTTTCTGCCCCATACAGTAGAACTGTCTTGACAATTGTATTGAAAATTCTGACCTTGGGATTGGTTGACAGTGGTTATGAGTTGCAGATGTTCTTCAGTTGTAAATATGCTTCTGTTTCTTTGCCGATTCACGCCTTCACATCTGTATCAGATCCACCATGTTCATCAATGATGCTGCCCAGATATTTAAATGTTTTTACATCCTCCAAATCTTCTCAATCAAGTGTGAGTTGGTTGGTGCAGGTTATGCTGTATCGGAGAATCTTGCTTTTCCCTCTGTGTATGTAGAGACTTACTGCTGCTGCTGAGGCTGCTGCTACACTGGTCGTCTTCTACTGCATTTGTTGTTGCATTTGAGATATAAGGGCCAGATCATCTGTGAAGTCTAGATCGTCCAGCTGCGTCCTAGTTGTCCACAATATCCCGTGCTTCCTTTCAGATGTTGACATCTTCATGACCCAGTCGATCACCAGGAGCAATACTAATATCGAAGTAGATCATAAATTTACAGCCTCATATTTTCTTCTATCGCAGCTTATTCTACCGTCGTTGCTAGCTGTTCCATATATTTCTCTCTGTCAACTCTGATGCCCTTCTTTAATTGCTTGTTTGCTCCCGCGTATTGAGCTTGTGTCTTGGACTTCTCTGTTCTTGTTCGACTTTTGTTAGTTTCTGTTGTCTCACTTCTCCTTTATTGAATCCAAAATAGGGTTTCCGTAAAGATGCATTCCTTAGAACGATGCTTCATGCGACTCAGGGCCTCCTCATACGTTGAAGTTTGCGTTTCTCCTATTCGTTTCCTGTTGTTCCCTATTGTAGTTTTTTCTCGTTTGAGTAGATCTTGTAAGGCTTGGAACTTGTTGTTGAGAGCTGTGTTGAATTGGTTGGGTTTATCTGTATGTGGAAGGAAGTCTGTATTGAAACTTTGTTATGCTGTTTTCCTCGTTGTCTATTGTTTCTGTAGCTTCAGTTTGATCTTTGCAACCACCAGTTGGTGGTGATCTGAAGCAACGTGAGCAAAGACTGAATGGTTATCTGGACGTAATTTTTCATATCGCCCACTTACTTCACGTTTCTCTCTGTTTTAAACTATGAACAATCCCGTAATATCTTTTCTTCCCGCCATTGCGTGCCTAATTTTCACCTTTCGAGTTCTGTTGCTAAAAACCACAAGAACAATACTTCAGAAACGTACGGTGAATTTAAACTATAAATTTTCTGCAATCATAAGGCCACTTCGGATGATTCATACACTGACAGCTGTATAATTATTCAGACTTCTTGGGTTGTTCTGAATCAAGCGAGTGACAAGAAGGTCAACAGTACCAAGAACCCTGGAATTAATCGCAATACTGCGTGTTGAGGTTTTCGCTGCGTTTAATGTTGAATGTCTATTTTCCTGGTTGTCTCGTGTTCAGCTTTGAGGACGTGTGATAAGGGTACAGTGCCACTACATGATCATTCTGTATAACCTGTTTTTATTCACTGTAAAATACCATTCTACCTTTCCCAAATGTATTCTTTGGAAACTCCATGCATCACATTTCTGACTGTTACGTGACGATGAGTCGGAATATATAGTGATGTGACTTTCACGAAAAATTCCATAAGTTAGGCAGTGACATCATGATGAATCCGCAGTTTTATGATTATGTTCGTTTTCGTAGTGATACCAATAACGATTTGGACGATAATTCCACTTCGACTTTTTAAATCCTTTGTGAAATCGGGTTCGCTTGGCACTACCAGATTCTTCACAATTGAAGGAAGCTTTGTTGACGATTCTGATACTATTTCTAAACGATTCACCCCGCATTTCTCGCGATGCTGCAGTACTGAAACCTAAACCTTTGTCAATACCTTTCCATTGGTGACGTCTAGACATAAATTCGAAATCGAATTTACATCCATCAACACCAATCAAATTATAACTTTTCTGAAAAATCCCCATGACAATGAATGTGATGGGATTCCTGTGTCATTCGTAAAATATAGTAGTACAAGATTTCTGGTATTCTATTTAAAACGGTTTAACTTGTCTTTGGATTGCGGACACTATCCATATGTTTGGAAAACATCGCTTATCACCCGAAGATTCAAAACAGGATTACGTACTGATATTGCTAACTGTATGTTCAATAACTTGACATCCACGCTATCAAGAACCATGGCAAAAATCATCCACAAATAGCTATTGTCATTTCTACTTTCAGCTAGCCTGATTGGCCCATTCCAACATGGATTTATGACAAAACGTTCATGCTTCACATCGTATCTGGAATTTTTCTATCAAATTACCAGAAAAGAGATGTTCGTTCATCAGTGATAATTATGTACTGCGACTTTAGTAAAATCTTCGACAGTTTTTCACACAAACTTCCTCTAAATCGTTCTTTATTTGGCGAACGGGATCCCCTTTAATCCTGGTTTAAATCATTTTTGGAAGAACGTAGCCGAATCGTCGCTTTGAATCTTGCTACTCTAAACCTGTGAATATAACCATTGAGGTTATACAAGGAAGTGTGATTAGTCCATTGCTCACTCTTCTTTTTACCAATGACGTGTGTTCACTCTTTCAATGCGGTAAATCATTCCTTTTTGCGGGTGACCTAAAAATGGTTTATTCATTGCCTACTTCCACCAGCGGTAATCTAAAAAGACAAACAAGTTTTACGAATGGGATGTGTCGTCTGATTCATCACTGAATTTTGATAAAAGTAGATTTATATACGATGGCCACAGCTCTAACCTCAATCTGACTACACACAGACGTATACTGAAACCTCTCACAATATCCCTTATAATGTTGTATACATGGTATACCTACCGGTTTCTTTCTCTTAGCTAACTGAAAGCAGCAGAGAAGGAAACAATAAATTTTCTCAACTGCTGGCTATTCATTTTGTACACAAACACAGTGACTGGAAACACCGAAATTAACACCGGCCGTTCTTAAACTATCTAACTTCTATACTTCTGTCGTTATTTGATCATTAATCAACTCAAGTGTACTCTCCTGATATGTTTAATTATGAATATTTGTTTCAATCAGAATACTCTTACTTATCTGTGTTAGCCATCGGGCCTTTTAATCACTAGTCGTACTAAACTGTATATCGTTCTAGAAAATGAGACACTAAGAAAAGCTATTTTATTATCATTCATCAGTTCGCTGGTAAACTAAAAGCTTTCGTCAGTTAATACTTTTTTCGCACACGATTAGTGTGTGACCTATGTATCTACAGCGATAATCTGGCTTATTTAGGATATTATTGTCATTCACAAACAACTTATCGGTACTTGATTGTTATGAAGAAACAATTTCAGATCGCCTCTAAAGTCTGGTATCGTCTTTTTCAAAGATATGTCGTGGACAACACTGAAATGTATCCTCAGTTTTTTGGAAAAATAAGTTGTTTTCCCTCTCTGGTTAATTGAACTCTTTAGGGCGGTAGAATCAGAATCTATTTTAGCGGTAGGTTGGATTGGTGGTCTTTGCTTTTCTCTAACGTGTATGGGAATTCTGATTTCGTTCTGTTCCATTCTGTATTTTTTGTAAATCTCCGAAGTTTTTCATCTGTGCGGGTTCTCGAGAACCATTTTAATCCGTGTTGGACTTTTATTTCGAGGGAATTCTCTACCGGAACACGTAATATCAGCACCGTCTGTTAATATATACAAAACGAGATTGAACCTCCACTGTATTACAAACTGCAAGGATTAATATAGGTCGACAGACTTTCTATACTTATTACTGCAGACCGAAGACTGAATTCCCTCTTAAGTGACATTTCTTGAGTATTGTTATTAGAAAACTGGGTAATCGCACCACTAATCTCACTTACAGTGATATTCTCACCAAAGTGTTGAGGTTCCACAACAAGTAAAGTGAAGGCATGCATTGTTATCGTACTTTTTTATCATATGGTTCACGTTTTCGTGTCATAGTTTTATTTTAACATTTCCATTTACTGGGAAATAGTTATTACGTTTTGAACAAGCGGTCACTTGAAAGCCTCATGCAAGTATTTTGTAGTCCTTTGCTGAAATATTTGGAACTTGTAATCAGCAGATATTTTTTTGCGTAAATTGATGTTTGAAGTTTATTTTTGTGTCTGTTTTGCTAAAACATTTTCACGATTCCTCAAACAAAACAGCGGAGAAAATGAGCAGTAGATGATTTTGTGTTATGTAACAATCAGGGTATGTTTAGTTAAGTGTAGCATCTGTGTGTAGGGCTGTATATCTTGGATGTGGTGAAATGACTGCAGGTCACGATTAATAAAGATAACTCAAATCCATGGATATATTTCAAATACTTTGACCTTGTCATAAAGTTGATCGACTAACTATTTTAATAAAAGGGGTTTTGTCAGCATAACGAAGAATAACTCAAATATAGATATGGGAAGGGTTTTGATTGGTAGATTGGACTATGTGGGAGACGTGAAATTTAATATGGTGGACTAATAAAGTGGTTAGGACTAGAGAATTTTCAACCCGAAAGGATTCAGCGACGCATTATGACTCACTAACTACTTCTGTATTTCCGACCAATATTTTTAGTCTCTGTTCTTCGTTGCTAAACAATGATAGTTTGTCTTCATCTAGGAGATTTGTGGCATAGGTAGAGGAGTACCGTCTTTGATTTTGGTTAGTGACTAATTATTGGCAGTACTAATTGTTGAATCCACCAGTAATTATCCAATTCCATGAGTCTTTTCATACCATTGTATTGTATTAAACGTTAAAAAATATTTTTACATAGATGTCCGCCTTTCGAAGAATAGGCAAAAGGCTTGTTTTGGTTGGAGCAATATCTGGCGTCGGTGCTGCACTTTTATTGGAATTTGTTCCCAGAGTTAATGAAGCCAGAAGGACGAAGGTGAAGTACTTATAACAGTAATGATTAATATTTACCATTAATTAATTACTAAGTAAACAAATCATTGCTTGTACTGAAATGTTAATGTTTGATTAGAAACGAACTTGTGTGTTCATAAGTATGAAAATTCAATGTGTTTGTGTATAGATCACCGAGTAGTAGCCGATATCATGTTTTGTTTTTTATAAAGTATCAATATAATCCTTTTAATCAACTTTAGATGACTCAATATCACACCGACTGTTTCGAAGTGAAATAACTGGAGGCAATTGACTGTAAAATACTGGTATAATTTTCTTACTCGTTGGTGTTCATGATTCGTTTGTGCTTCAAGGCAATAATTCCTAACTCCGAGCTCGATAGCAGTGGGCGAAAGTGCTTCTTATTCTCTTTTTTGTCCGTTAACTATAGATTGGGGTACAAGCCTTCCCAAATGATTTGTGGAAAGAAACTAAGAACATTAAAATTATTCAAATACGTTCATTTATGTACAAGTTTAACTTCAATTGATTACTAGTTGAAGAATTTGTCAAACTAAACAGATATCACAGAAATAATGCAGTCGGACATTAAATCGAGTCAATATCAACTTGACAAAATAGCACTGGGTTAATTGTTGCAAAAAGTGCTTTGAAAGCCAATTGAATGAAAATCACTTCGCATCAATGACCCATCAGAAAGATGTACCTACAGTCCTCAGTAACTGACACTCTTTGTGAAATGGGAACCCGCATCACTGTATTTATCTTTATTTATTTAAACGCAAACATTGGTACGAGGAGGCACCAAATGTATACGCGCCACACTTCGTCATTCGATTTGTGTAAGGGCCGGGGTACTTCCGGGGCGCCCAAACCAAGGTGGATGGCCCTCTTAGGAGGCCACTCTCCAAACCTTTGACTTAGAGGTCTAATCTATAGGGCAGTGGGGCAACGTAAGGAGATGCAGTCTCATAGTAGTCAGTGACCAACAATAGGTTCATACGCCATTTGTTTGCTCAAAATCCTGGAGCCCATGTGACCATTCGTTTGGAATCACGGTTTTCCAACCCTCCTAGATGGGTTCTCCGGAATCCATTGACCCGGTTAAAGCACTGGACATACGCTTTTCGTCCTCTTGATTTCGTAAATAACAACCCCGCCGCGAGAAGGCAGTGAGTAGGACTTCACTGTCAGGGGCTATACTTGCGTGGCTATGTGAGAGGATTTCGAGAGGGAGAGTGGGCTCTCCCCACCTTCGATCGTATCATGGTATTTGGGGGGCATATATTAAATATTATCACTAATATTATTAGGCTACACCTGACCTCATCATCTTGCACCAAAATATAGTGGCTGTGATGCTGAGTCAGTTATACTAATGACCATGTTTTACGTAATTTTGTGTATAATTTGATCAACACTAAAAACGTGCTACCAATTACCATTCGGTGTTTTAATTTAGTTGCTTGTTGCCATTATTCATTAATAGTTAACACTGTCAAGAATAATTGATGTGATTTTCTCTTAATATCTAATTTAACGTGAATTCGGGCTTACATAATAATCTGCCATACATTACTTACTTACGCCTGTTACTCCTCCTGAAGGAGCATAGGCCGCTCACCAGCATTCTCAATCCAACCGTGTCCTGGGCAATCCTTTCCAGCTTCTTCCAGTTCCTATTCATCCTTATCATATCTGCTTCTATTACCCGACGTAATGTGTTCTTAGGCCTCCCTCTTTTCCGCTTCCCTTCAGGATTCCAAGTTAGGGCTTGTCTCGTGGTGCAGTTTGATGATTTGCGTAATGTATGTCCTATCCATTTCCATCGTCTTTTCCTAATTTCTTCTTCAGCTGGAAGTTGGTTTGTTCTCTCCCACAGAAGGCTATTGCTGATGGTATCCGGCCAATGGATGTTGAGTATCTTGCGAAGACAGCTATTTATAAATACTTGTACTTTCTTGACGGTGGTTGTTGTAGTTCTCCAAGTTTCAGCTCCATACAGTAGAACTGCCTTGATGTTGGTATTGAAGATTCTCACTTTGATATTGGTTGAAAGTTGTTTTGAGTTCCATATGTTCTTCAATTGTAGAAATGCGACCCTTGCTTTGCCAATCCCTGCCTCTACGTCTGCATCTGAACCTCCTTGTTAATCGATGATGCTTCCTAGATATGTGAAGGATTCTACATCTTCCAGAGTTTCGACATCAAGAGTGATTGGATTGCTGTTCTCCGCTTTGAATTTCAGGACCTTGGTTTTCTCCTTGTGTATGCTGAGGCCTACTGATGCAGAGACTGCTGCCACACTGGCTGTCTTTGTCTGCATCTGTTCGTGTGTATGCGATAGGAGTGCTAGGTCATCTGCGAAGTCTAAATCGTCTAATTGATTTTGAGATGTCCATTGTATTCCGTGTTTTCCTTCAGATGTCGAGGTCCTCATAATCCAGTCGACCATCAGGAGGGAAAGGAAGGGAGAGAGTAAACAGCCTTGTCTGACTCCGGTCCTTACTTGGAATGCATCTGTCAGCTGTCCTCCATGCACGACTTTGCACTGTAGTCCGTCGTATGAGTTCCGGATAATGTTGAAAATCTTCTCAGGAACTCCATAGTGTTGAAGAAATTTCCATAACGTCCTTCTATCCACACTGTCAAATGCCTTTTCATAATCAATGAAGTTGATGTACAGTGACGAGTTCCACTCAACTGATTGTTCGACGATGATCCGTAGTGTCGCAATTTGGTCTGTGCACGACGGACCTTACGGAATCCAGCTTGTTGATCTCGAAGTTGGGCGTCTACTGCATCCTTCATCCGGTTCAGCAACACTCTGTTGAAGACTTTCCCTGGTATTGACAGCAGTGTAATGCCTGTAGTTTTCACATTTGCTCAGATCTCCTTTCTTTGGAATCTTGACGAGGTGCCCTTCTTTCCAGTCCATCGGCACTTGTTCCTCTTCCCAAATCTTTTTGAATAGAAGGTAAAGCATGTTTGTAGTTGCTTCGATGTCTGACTTCAGTGCTTCAGCTGGTATGTTGTCGGGTCCTGCTGCTTTCCCGTTCTTGATTTGTCTGGCGGCCATTCTGATTTCTTCCTTCGTTGGTGGGTTGACGTCTATGGGAAGATCTGTGTGCCGCTTTGATGTCCGGTGGATTCATTGGAGCCGGCCTATTCAGGAGTTCCTCAAAGTATTCTACCCATCTGTTCCGCTGTTGTTGAATTTCGGTGATTGGCTTTCCTTCTTTGTCTTTGACCGGCCTCTCTGGTTTACTGTATTTCCCTGCTAGTTTCTTTGTTGTATCGTGAAGCTCTTTCATATTTTCTTCTCTAACAGCTTTTTCTGCCGTCTTTGCTAGTTCTTCCGCGTATTTCTTCTTGTCGGCTCTAATGCTCCTCTTCACTTGTTTGTTTGCTTTTATGTATTCAGCTTGTGCTCGTGTTCAGCTGTTGTTAATTGCTGTCTTCTTGTTCTTCCTTTCTTTGATCTTGTCCAGAGTTTCTATAGAGATCCACTCCTTATGATGGTGTTTCTTTAGACCCAGAACCTCTTGACACGTTGAAGTTAATGCTTCTTTGATACTTTTCCAGTTGTCCTCCATAGTAGTTTCTCCATTCAGTAAACATTCCGTTGAAACAATTTTATTTGGACTTATTTCGAAATGTTTAATTCATTGATAAATGTTTTATCTTGACACTTATTGTTTCCTCTGTTATCGTCACAATTTGCGCTTTCTGAAAACTTAAGATCGTGTAGACAATTTTATTCTCTACATCATCAAACGTAAACTTCTGTTTTTGATGTGTCTGCAAATTCATATCACAACGCTTTATTGGGACTTATTTTTTAAACTTTTGATATGTTGCCACCAATTCAGAAACGCAACATTTTATTTTCGGTTCTAAATCTAAATACTGTAAACTATTTAGGGAACGTGTGGAAAACTGACTACAAAAGGATGATGGATGTGATAGGTTCATTCTTGGTTATGTCTTTTAACTCCTCAATTCACTTCTAAATGTTCTATTCTCCAAGCTTGATCAGTAAAGGATTTTAGTTTTGGTCAAAGCTTGTTATAAGTTTTTCGGTAACTGTGTATTTTGACTTTCAAATAAAGCAGAAAATGTATGAAATCTGTAAATGTGATTTTAGTCAATTATGCCTCACTTTTTGTTTATTATCATTGCATCTTCATTTTAAGTGTTCATAACATCATGTTAAACTGTATAGCTTAGTGTTCCTGGTATTATATACTTGCCAAGTTTGTAATCAAAACTAGCAAATAAGCAGATCACTCATTTGAAAAAAAATTAACGCGATTAACAATTTGTAATTCATCATTCTGGAAAAATCAAATACGTGAATAGAAACAAGCCGAAGCTTGTCATAATAACTTAACTATTGATTCTATCATACTTTTGCTCACCAGTCGTTTATTATACTGATATTCTACGCCATTACTGTCTATCTAACCTATAGTTCATATATATATATATATATATATATATATATATATATATATATATATATATATATATATTCGGAGGCGCTAAAAATGTTTGCGACTCTGGAAACAATCAGACTCCAGTTTTCAGTGATCGTCGATGATGGTATTAGTTAAATCACACTTCTTTACAGACGCTTTTCAAGAGAATAAGTATTACATCCTTTTCATTCTGAACTTTTGGCCGTTCTCGTGGGTAACCAGAAATATTTAACGTTTTTTGTTTTTGATAGTCTGTTTATTTCCTTAAAACACAGTTTTAAAAAAATAAACGAAACAATTCGGCGACTGATCATGCTTCATCATAGCTTCTTATCTGCTATTTCACTATTGGTTTCGCCTTTTTATGTAATCAAGCAATCACTAGTCACATTGTTCAATAAGCTTATATTCTCATCACTACATCTTATACTTACAGGCTTTACTGTCGAGACCTAAACCTTCAGAACAGGAGTTCAAACGTTTTGAGCGACCTTTGCCAACTAGAGATGAACATCTCAAACGAATGGCATCAGGTGAACTTTTCGATGTCTTAGTAATTGGTGGTGGGGCAAGTGGTGCTGGTGTTGCGTTAGATGCTGCATCCAGAGGTAGGTTGAAAAACTGAATAATTTCAACTATTCGCCCAAATTCTTGTCACCACATTTATTGACATAAACAAACATAATTTTTTGTCCTGAGTTTTACCTTTACTTATTCGAGGTACTAAGAGAATTTCTAAATCCTACACTGTTTAGATGACTGGTTTAATTTGTCGCATCAATAAATACTTTCAAATTTAGCTATCTTAATCTCCAAAACGTGGGTAGGGTCTTCTAATTAATAGAAACCAGTAATTTAAGAATTCGGGTAAAGTGACTGAAGGCTGTTAGCAAAAGCATTTATGCAATGTGTTTTATCATACTCCAAGTTTTAAATATGCTACTGTGTTCTTATATGGCTTCGTATTACTTCGTTATTCCCTTTTTTTGTAGTGACATGTTTCCTATTATTATTGTTAGTATTTTCGACTCAGCCTTATGATTTTTAAATATGACTAATTGAATCAATACACCATTTTTATTTCGTTATAGGTCTTTGTCGTCAGTCAATAATAGCTGTTTATTTGACACACATCAAATGAGATTTGTGTAGCGCATATGTATTGGGTGCCTCCTTGTGCCAATATCTATGTGTTTAAATAAATAAATAAAATAAATACTTTGGTTAAACCCTGTATATCTCTAACATTAAATGTTTAGTTTCATGATGTAGTATTAGATATTTGTATTTTTAATACAGTAGTATTTGATTAATCCAGTAGATTCCTTGTGAAATATCAAATAATGATGTTTGGAGATGATTGCGTACAGAAGCTGAAATATCGAACAGACAAAATACTAACAATGCTTTAATCTTATACTTGAGTACGTATTTAATTAGCGAATTGAGAGAAAAGCATATCTACTAATACTGGAAGAGAATTAGTGAAACTAATTAATTACTTTCTGTTTCTTCCAGTAAGTTATACTTAAGATCTATCGTTTGAATGGTATTCAGTTAGTTTTTTGTCTTCTAATGGGTGATACTTATTCATCTCAAGAATAATGCTTATTCTTCAGTTATATAAAACTCTGAAATTGTATAAAAACCTATCCTATATCAATGACGTCTTTTGATTTAAAATCCCAAAGTTGTATTACGGTGGCATATCTTTGTTTCAAATGAACTTATAATTTAACATCAATGCTCACCAGTTATACTGAAGATTTAATATGTAAAATTTACTGGTTAGTTTCAAAAATAACCATTACATCCCATCATAGTAGCAATAATTCGACGATAAATCGATTATTTTTAGACATGGTAAACCTATTTTTAAATCTTAAAGATATAGATTATCTAATTGTCTCAAGTAGTGGCTCAATGTTTGTGTTTAAATTTCAGCTTTTAAGTCCCGAACCCGAACTCCGCTTCATCTATTTCACAAAGAGAACGATTTTTTCACACATATTGGAATAGTAAATTGAATGTCAGCGGTTTAAATTAAAGACTTTATGAGGACCAGTTCAAATCATCATTACGTACCTGTAGTTTACAATCTAAAAAATTGCTGATATTCCTACACGACTGATACATCGTCTTGATCGGGACCCGACTTCAACACTTAAGGAAGTTACTGAGGAATATCAACTATTAACAAACCTCAAACACGACATCAATCTAGTTCATTGCGCTGGTCAAAATAGGTTTGACGTTCAAGCAGTTCAAAGCAAAGTTTTCGCAAAAGGTTTGGGGCATTATACTACAATGAAAGTAAATCTTCACCTGAAAATAAAACACCAATCCATTGGGGTTTCCCCATCGTCAGTTGTTGTGTCTTGCTGTTAGGGTTCAGTACAGCCTATGGTGTTGTGGATTTAGGAACGAAAACGATTGAGCTTCTCTAATACGATCGGTTCTTTTCGGAACTGACAGCAGTCAGTTATACTCAACATATGAAACCTCGACGGCTAAGACAGAAAGAGGACAGAATTGCAGGTAACTTGATATATCTGGTAGAACTCAAACGAAATCGGTACGGAATTGTTACTATAATGGCAGAATATGATCTTCGAGCATGTAGTAATTTAGCGAACTAAAAATACAAGATGACCAATCAGAGAGCAAAGGTCATGCGGAAAATCAAATTGGTAGAAAGTGTGCGAGCGGTTATCGTTCCAGAAGAGATCCTAGCCCTTCTAATAAAACATGACTACTCTTGCTACCCCCTTGGCACAAATTCGTCTACATTTCGTTTGAATCGATCGTAAAAACTGCTTAATTCTTTTTTTACACATATGTTTGAAATTTTTTGTATAGGTAAGTGGGAAATAAAAAAGATCACTTCTTTCAATTCATTTATGGTTAGATGAATAAATAAATGTTTATGCTTTCCTCATATAAGCACTTTCAATCAATTATTGCTTTGTAAATACTAATTTTCTCTTCGTTCTTTTTTGCCTAAAGGTTTATCAACATGCCTCATTGAAAGATTGGATTTTGCTTCGGGTACCTCCTCTCGTTCAACCAAACTTATTCATGGTGGTGTTCGATACCTACAAAAGGCTATATTTAATTTGGACATTGAACAGTTTCGTATGGTTAATGAGGCACTTAGTGAACGGTCTAATCTAATCGATATTGCTCCACATCTAGCTTATCCATTGCCAATCATGTTGCCCATATATAAGTAAGTTTATATAGATTTTTGTCATTTAAGACTAACTGAAATTGGAGATTTAAACCGTTGATTACCAACATAGGGTTTCAGATATAACATGCTCGTTTCCAAATTCGAATATATTGAGTTTGAGACATGACAAGGTCGTGGGTACGCACTGTTGAGAAGTCCCGTTTTAGGAGGAAACGGCTATTCATTGTAGGTCATATTCATCACGGATTGATCACAGTTGGGGTACATTAAAAAACGAAGGGTATTGGACAGCTATTTTATCCCACCATTGGACTCCTCGGTAATGCAAACCCACAACCAAGAGTCCCAACTAAACGAACACCTTTGCACAAACTTCTTTTGTACACATGGGTTCAGTTCGCTGAGATGGTTGTCAATGCTTCCAGCCGTATGCAATGAGCGTATTGGTTGAACATAGAGCAAACTAGATAAATCATTTAGAAGTCTGTATTCAACTTAATTTTCACAATTATTATAAATATAAGTGATAGATCTAACAAAAATTGCCATCACAGACACTGTAATTTGAACTACTCGTTTCTTCTCATTCTCACTCAACACAGCTGTTGGTATTCATAGTGGTCCTGGAATTCAATACTAACCATGCAGTTTACTTATAAAAAAAATTCACTTTTAATGCTGTCATTGTTTTTATTGTCAATTCTGTAGATGGTGGCAAGTTCCGTATTATTGGGCTGGTATTAAAATGTACGACTTAATATCTGGTGCTCAAATACTAAAAGCCAGTTATTATCTTAATAAATCACAGGCATTAGAACGATTTCCTTTATTGAAACGTGATAAACTAGTCGGTGGGTTAGTATATTATGATGGTAAGTTAGTTTCTAAAATGCATTATTTAATACTACGTTACCCTTCCACAGATATACATCTTTCAGGTTGTTTTATAGTTTTATTGTATTTGTTGGATTTTGCCTCTTAAAATCATAAACAATGTTCATCATTGAGATCTATCAGGTTTGGATTTCTCAGATATATGCTTTTTAAAAGAAATGTAAATCATCCATTCATTCTTTTTATTGTTATATACCATTATACTCCTGGGTAAATTTTATCTATGGTTTGCTATACAACGATCGGTTTTTTTAAAGGTTATTTTTCATCACGAATTAACTTCACCCATAGATCTAATAAAATGAGGGAGGACTTTACTACAATTTCGTCCTAGTTTGTTACTTTTTGCAAATAAGCTCCCATGATTACGCAAAAAATTTAGATCTGGATCTAACGGGTATCGCGGTAAGTGAAATGCTGTTAACATTAGTTGATCGTCAGTCTGTACCACAAACTGACTGGATTTGAAATTGTACCACTTGATGCAAACCAAGTGATTCTCGTGGTTATGCATTTGCCCTTAGATTTGAGGTTCTTAGATTAGATCATTGGTGGAATTGTGAGTGCCCGTCGACATAAAGACCTATACTAGGACGAAATAGCTGTCTATTATTTTTGGTTTCTGGTGGTACCCAATCTCATATCAATCTGTGATGACTGCTGCTTGCAAATTAAGCCAATCTCCACAATCTCCTTCAAATAAAAATAGTTTACGCTCTTAATCCTGATTCGGCTGATTAAAAAAGTCGCGGTTTCCTATTGTAGAACTTCGAAAAGTCTATCTCGACAATTTTTTATAGTACGGATATGGTTAACCTAAATAAGTTTTTAGAGGAAACTGTTTAAGTTTAAGTAATCTTTGCTAAGAGTTTGTTTCAGATTTTACACGTATAAATGATTGATTACCCTGAAAATTAATTATAAGTATTGGTCGTGCATTATACGCCGACGCTGGGGACCGGTTGGAAAAAGCGGATAGGTGGTCAGTGTACGATATGTGGTATGAAAGAGAGCTGTACAGGGCTGACTTCTGTTGGTCCTTCATGACTCCCTGATTGAAATCCTAGATGTGGTGCAACACAGTGGTAGATACGTTATCAGACGGCTCAGAATCAAAACTAGTGCGTGATCCTGCTGTAACTTTGTTTTAATTTTATAAAATTGAACGTAACTTCTTTAGCTGAAGGAATTTTTTGTGGTTGTATTTTTTCTAACTGAAATGTTTCCCCCATTATTATTTATTTATTTATTTACTATTTCACTCTCATACACTAATTTCTGTTCGTTGTTGTGCTTTTTATTATATGCACTTTACATTTTCTATCTATTTCAAAACCCATCTGACTGGTCACAATCACTCATTGTCCCAATATATAAGAGAGGGTTAAAATCATCCTGTGACAACCACAGAGGGATTAGTTTAACTAATATAGTATCTAAAATACTAGCCTCGATAATTATCAGATGCCTAACTAAGACTCGTGAACTGCAAACACGAGAGAATCAAGCTGACTTCAGACCTGGTCGTGGCTGCATCGACAACATATTCACCATTCGTCAGGTTCTAGAACACAGTTATACTTATCGGGGTCCGACAATGGTGGTCTTTCTTGACTTAAAAGCAGCATTTGACTCGGTAGACCGCGAGATTCTGTGGCAGTGTCTGTCATTGAAAGGTGTACCTCAGAAGTACATAAGCCTTGTAAAGGCTCTTTACTCGAACATTACTAGTCGAGGCAGAGCTTATGGCGAACTGTCATCTGCTTTTGCAACCTCAAGTGGTGTCCGTCAAGGCTGTCCACTTTCTCCATTTTTGTTCAACTTCATCATAGGCATACTGGCGGAATTGGCGTTCTCGTCGAATGAATTCCCAGGCATTCAGTTCCAACCAGGAGGTCCACTTATCGACTTCGAATACGCAGATGACATAGTCCTGTTTGGTGAAGACGCTGATAAAATACAGAGTCTTCTAGTAGCACTAAGCAACAATGCCAGAATTTTTGGAATGCGCTTCTCTCCCTCTAAATGCAAGCTGCTGCTTCAAGACTGGTCTGCGTCAACACCTGAATTAAGGATAGGGAGTGAAGTAGTCGAACGCGTTGACAACTTCACTTATCTTGGAAGTCTGATCAGCCCTAATGGGTTGGTATCAGACGAAATCTCAGCACGGATTCGAAAAGCTCGTTTGGCTTTTGCCAACTTACATCACCTTTGGCGAAGGCGATATATCCGTCTATCAATTGAGGGATGAGTATACTGCGTGGCAGTCCGTTCTGTTTTAATTTATGGCAGCGAAACATGGCTATTAAGAGTTGAAGATACTCGTAATAGTGAGGTTAGACGCAGGGTACTAGGGAATGATGGTAAATCAGTTGATGAGGTTGTGAATCTTCATCGACTGAGATGGTTGGGGCACGTGTTACGTATGCCTGATTACCGATTACCACGACGTCCAATGCTAACCGGTGTTGGAGATAGTTGGAAGAAAGTTAGGGGTGGCCAAAGCAAAACGTGGCATCAGTCCTTGAAGTCACTAATTTGTAGTCTGAGCCATGTTGGTAGATGCAGACTACTTGGTTGGGGTCCGCGTGACTATCGTAACCAATGGTTGGAGACTGTGAGTGACATGGCTGCAAATCGATCACAATGGCGTCTGTGTATACACTCTCTATCTTCCCGTAAACTAAGAGGTTAAAATCATTTAATATCTCTCTTTCTACCAAATAATTATTTCTTCCTGTACTATATCCTTATTGCAATCTTTCTTTCATATATTACCACCATTGATTTAACTATTTTTTGAATCCGGTGTTCATCTTGCTGTGCTAATGAGGTATGGCAACCTGGACCGATGCATATATGTGCCTGGTCCTACGTTGTAGCTGACTGACTGACTCATTGATATTGTGCGGCTCATATGTATTTGGTACCCCCTTGTACCAATGTTTATGTGTTCAAATAGCTAGTAATAATAATAATGCCAGCCTAAGACGAACATAGTTTTTCTAGTACTTTTTGATTGTAAACAATCCTTTAGCAAACATCAGTTCGTGATGAATTTTTATCACCTTTGCATTCTGCAAAATCATCTTAACTATTTCTGTTAATGATCCGAGAAGCATTTTTGTGCTACATGGTTGAAAGTAATTCACAAGAAACCCTTAACCTAGGTTTCTTGCTGTTTTGCACCCGTAAGATGCACCTGTAACTCTAAAGGAACTAACGTCTAGCGGATTCAATCCCCTGTCATTCAACTTCATAGTCAGAGACGTTAGAACTAAGCTACTCAGGCCTCAACTGTGATGTGTTGCACGCAATATTGAGTCAGTTTGAATAGTGATCACATTTGAACTTGACCGATGGAATTCAATCAGCACTAAGAAGTGCTTAACAAACATAACATTAATCACTACTCAATGACCAATTAATTGTAAATAAAAGCTATTCTTTTTGTGGCATTTTTAATTGCAAAAGCGTGACCTGGTTAATTATTATCATAGTGCTAATTGTTTTTAATCCGCTTATTCTATCATTTATTTGATGTGTTAACATTATTCGGTTTAGATTCAGATGTCCTTCAAATCGTACTTGTAAGTAGTGGATATATTGCATATATTCTACGGTAAGAAAACAACTGTGTGTTTTTACCACTCAGTAGTTGTTGTACATCTACATACTTCACTACTAATTAAGTAATCTCGCTATTATCAAAATAACCTTAACATAAATATTGGCTGAGCACAATGGGTATATCTTTAGCATTGTTCTATGCAAAACAAAACAGATTTGGTCAAACCTTGTACTAATGATAATTAATTTTGAAGTCTACATTTACAACATATTGAGGTTACATTCGTTACAGATTGATCTTAGTTCGTTTACCATTAGAAACCAGGGGCAATAGACAGCTGTCTCGTCCTAATTCGGGACTTCTCAACAGTATAAAGCTATAACCACACCAGATAGGGAATTTGGTACCCTTCTGTCTGTAGGAGAACGCTTTGGAGAATTCAATTAATTTGCAATATACCGCGGCGATCATTCAGTGTTGTTAGTAAAACCTATTTCACTTCCCATCTGTCTGAATACCACTAGTTATGATTTCATATTACATATCTTGAAAAAAAAATAAAAGTACATGATTGTTTATGATTTCAACAATGATGGGTCATTATTTACACTATTTATGAGGATAATATTTTAAGTGATACAATTCTCAGTTTATTGATATGAGGTTGAATTTCATAGTGTCATGAACCATTATAAACATAGTTGTATTGGCAATGTACACTAGATCTTTCTAGAAATCTGATATTTTATAGATTAATTAGGTTTTTGAATTTTACGATAGAATAAATTCCTTAATTAACACAACACTATAGTTATTTCAAGTTGAAATGAGCAATAACATTGAAAAATTAGTTCAGATACATTTTTCTTAGTGTTCGATTACATAACAGTGTTTATCGGTACTACTAATCAAATTACTTATATTTTTTGACTATAGTAAACTCATTCTATGTGTGACATTTTTGAATCTAGATTAATTTAGTACTTGTTTTGAATATTACTAAAAATCACAATGTTCTATTCTTGTTTCATAAACGCTTATCTCAATGTTGAGACTTTCTTTCTTTCTTTTACTATTATTTAGTTTATATGTAATTGTTTAAATCAGAACTTAGTCAAATATATTTACAATATTTTCATTTTTACTATTTTTTTTAGTAAGTAATACTAAATTATTGCACTGATACTGATAATAAAATAATTTAACACATTCTATTTTCCATAATAACAGTTTTTCTTAATCAGTTTAAATAACGCAATTAAAACAATTTTAGCTGAATAAAATGTATTATTTTTCTTTCCCCTAGTTTCTCATAATCATTATGTACTGAAAGTCTTTGTCTTAATCATCAGACAGAAAACTTGATAGAAAATAGAAAATAATCAGAACTCCTTTTTATTCGAAATCATAAGGAAAATAATGCTCAGCATGTAATTCTAACCTACGTCGCCCAATGTCATAATCACAGATATTTACACTGTGACTGACATTCTGAAAGACTGAAATGTCTACATATTATTTGATTACTTAGTAATGTTATATATCTTGTTATTACTGATGTTTTAATTCTGCTGATAAAGGTGAAATATAGTCACTATTCTAAATTATATGCAATCACAGTGCACTTTATTCGGTCTTAGATGGTTGAAGAGAGTTGGTAGAAGGGTTGAGCAATTCGCTAATAACTTCTCTGACCGTGTGACTTATTAAGACACGTGTTAATCTTATAAAGAAACTTGTTCACCTTGAGACTGCAGACGGTCCTTCCTTACGCCTGTCAAGGAATACGAAATCAAGGTTTTAAGACTCCTTAATGATTATTTTCATTTATTTAATACTAGTTAGAAAATCTGTTGTAAATTGTGAGTTTACTTGTTTAGTTATGAGAGTTAACTGTAAAGCCCTTAATAATAGCTTTGGCTTTCGTTCCTGTCTGAACACTATCATTTAGGGAGTCGTCATTCACTAATTGTTACTAACCCAGCGTACTTATGTTTCATTCTATTGGATTTTTTTAAAGCAAGCTATCTGTATTTTTGATTCTTTCAGCTATTTGTTTTTATTTACTTTGAATTTTCTGAAATGTCCTTAACTTTATTTTGAAGAGGCATGAGTTATGTTTGTTTTATTACGTAGAATATAAGATTATCAGATTACCTGAGTTTTCAAATATCTACTTCACTTGAAGTAATGTTTCTTTTTAAATTTGCCGATACTTTTAATCAGTGTTACCGTATCAACACTTGTGCTTCTATTAATGTACTAGTTTCTTAGAAAGCTGTTACTTCCCTTTTATGATGTAGAAGGTAATATCTCATGTTTATTTGTCTAACATGTTTTATTTCGTGCCTACAATAATTTAAGCTAAACCTTATACACTCGTTATTCTTTTCTTTATATTATCCATATATATGCGTATATAAATAGTTCATGTAGTAAGCCTTCAATACCTTCCCGATATTAAAGAATGCGATTATTGGCAAAATTATCTTTGTTTTCTATATTTTTTAAAAATAAATGATGTCCCTCAGCATAAATACGTAGTAAATATTATCATTTTAAGGTGAAGAAAAACAAAATGATAATATTTGCTACGTATTTATGCTGAGAGGCATCATTTATTTAAAAAAATATAGAAAACAAAGATAATTTTGCCCCCATTGGAAACCGTGAATAACTGCTTATTTGTTGTTGTGAATAATAAATTTTTCACCTGGTGATCAGGGGACTCTGGAGCTAGTATGAATCGAGGATTATGGATCGTAGATTAAAAATGTTATCACTTTTTTATTTATATCCATTTCCTAGATCAATTTTACAATGTATGTTTATTTGATCCAACATATTATTACATCTATATTCAACTACCCATCTAAATTATTGCATATTTTCTTTTTTGCTCATTCACAACAATTATTTTTTCGATAAAACAATGAGAAGACGGAGTTGATCTGAAAAATGTGATGTATTTGCGCTATACATTTCGAACAATCTGGTCACACATATACTTGTCAAGGCATTTTTATACAGCATTTAGAATGTTGTATAGAAATTGTCAAGGTCGAATTCTTAAGTTTATTGAAGCCTTAGCTATTCGTAAATTTAAACCCCCCTTATGTGTACAAAAACAATTTGTCGTAACCTTGAATTTACCTTGGTAATCCTTAAGTCATTTTATGGCCTAGGATAACACGACAATTTCTTATTCTTTCTCACCCCTTAGTTATTTTAATTGTACTTTTATTCGTTTGACCTTTATTAATTTTCATATAAAAATGCCTTGACAAGTATATGTGTGACCAGATTGTTCGAAATGTATAGCGCAAATACATCACATTTTTCAGATCAACTCCGTCTTCTCATTGTTTTATCGAAATTTATAAAAGGGACTAATTGCTTTAAATTATTTTTTCTTAAGATCCAGCTTCTGACTTTATTTTCCTTTTAAACTTCTCTTTTTCTCATTAACCTAGGCCAACAAGAGGATGCTCGTATGTGCTTAAGTATTGCATTAACTGCGGCTCGTTATAATGCTGCGATTGCTAATTATGTTGAGGCTGTTGAAATAATTAAACAACCATCTCGAACTAAATCAGTTTCATTGAAATCAACATTGGAAACAACATCTGAACCAGTACCTACAGTATCAGGTGCACGAGTTCGAGATAGATTAACTGGTAAAGAATTCACAATCAATGCTCGTTGTGTGATTAATGCAACTGGACCATTTACGGATAGTATACGACAAATGGATAATAGAGAACAACCTACTATTTGTCAACCTAGTTTAGGTGTTCACATTATTCTTCCTGGTTATTATAGGTAATGACGTTTTTATTTTGGGATAATAATAATAATTCATTTTATATTGTTTGTTTGAATCTTCTCATTGATGTTTATGACTGAAATTAATCAGTTTTTTATTGGCATATGTGCATCCTGTGCGGATTGCCTCGATAGTGACTTAAGTCAAATGTATTTTAAACAAAGATGGATGGTGACTAGCAGTGAAATTCAGGAAGCGATTTTCGTCCTATATGGGACCACAATGCACAAGCCAGTGGCTATCAGGACTCAGTAGATAAATGGATAACGTGATGGCGTTTGAAGCGAACGATATTGGGTTCAAATCCTAGAGTGAACATCAACTCTGGGATGCAGGTAAATTCAGCTGACGAGTCCCGAATAGGATGAGACTCGCGTCCTGGATTCCACTGCTAGCCATCACCCATCATTGTTAATAATAATAATACTTATAACAATAATATTTGTAATAATTTATTTTGATGCTTCACGTTATTACATAAAAATCAGTCTCTGATAATAACTGATTGGTAGTGTTTTCGTACGTATTTATTATTATGCTAGTGTTGTGACATATGCCTGTTCATGTCCAAATTAAGAAATGCGTATATTCTTTCTAATAAATTACATATCCGATATTGTTTACTTTGATGAAACGAACAGTAAATCACAAGAGTCTCATATAGTTTTCACTATTATTTTTAACTTTCCAATCGTTTATTCGATCTCTCTTTTGTTTTTAATGTTAGAAATGTTTAATATAATTTAATATTATTTCTCTATGCAACGATTCATTTCATTGATACGAAAGTTTTCTTTAGGTTAGAGATTATTTGAATTGATCTGTCAAGTTTGTAAGTACTGTTTTTGACTTATGATGTTAAAGTTTCCCAAACAGTTAAAAAATCCCATATAGATTTTTAGATATTATTACTTTATTGCAGCTTTCTACACATAAATAATCAAAATTGAAATTGATCTTGATTTGTTTGAAGTGACGTTCGAAACATATTGAAGTATTAGAGTTATTTGAGTCATTTCAATCTAATAGGAAACTTGAATGTAAAATTAATTAGGTTCATTCTTATTTTCTATTTTTTAATTTATTAGGTGAAATGTATTGTATGTAAGTAAGATTTATAATGAGATTTTTAATTTAACCAGAAGTTAGTATTACTACTCTCCATTTGGTGTAGTTCACTTTTCTCATTGTTTCGGCTAGTCAGACATTGACAGTTTAAGACTTGGAACAACTGTGTATCAATTCAATTTTCCACATCTCTGATCAGTGTGGCAAGAAGAAATTCTTAAGATGGAAAAAAAGAGGGTGAAAATTTTATTAATATATTTTGTATTCACATTTAAAAATGACTGCACTTGGAGAATAAAACATACATACTGAGATGAAAACCTTAGGAATTCATTTATAAACTTTCGGTTTTTATATGAAAACTGCATATTGGTTATAATCGTATTGCTTTTTTAACCGTATAAATTGTTTCTTAACCTAAATAGTGTTTTCGTGAACGTCTATACACTTTACTTTCAATCATTTTTTAAAAAAAAAGAAATAAATTATCATTTCAATTTACGATTATCTTAAAATTTTCACGTCCAATTAATTTTCAATGATCATTATTTGTGTTATCCACTTTTTTCTTAATATATTTAATTTTCTAAAATTACACTCCTACCATTGAATATCATATGATCAATCATTGTCATGCGTCACGTGTATAACGTCGATAAATTTAGTTCTGATAAATAATACTTTCAAAATAGTAGGTAGAAGATGTATGTTAAGGGGAAAATAAATATCTGGCATTTATTGAACCAGAATTAATATCATGTGTCTTTGATGAAATTGGATCATATGACTATGAAATTCATTGGTAGAAATAATTATTGTCCTTTATACACAGAATTTCGTCCTATCAGCTAATTGCTTTTTTTTCTCCTTTGAAATATCGTACTTTTATTACTAGTAGTATAGTGTTATTAGTATTAATAGGTAATTTTATTACTCTCATTAATTCAATCAGTAAATTCACAGACTTATGAACTGAAACATTGAATTTGTAACTTCTCAGTCACTAGCTTCTTCATGTAAAAAATACTGCTTTTCTAGAGTCAAGTAATTTTTATATAAAGTAGTAAAGATGTTTTTTTACGACAAATTATCAGTAACTTCTAACATGAGAAATGCTATCGTTAGCTGTTGTTAGCACGACATAGACTGGATTAATGCATGCTCAATGTACGATTGCATTGGTGTACGCTGATTGGCTAATTCTTATCCAATCAGCACTAGCCGGTAGTTGGAGAATACTCTGGAATCTTCTCATGTGAATAACTATAAATATACTAACGTTTTTCCCTATTGCTGCTGACTTGCTTCTTACTTCCATCTAACTTTGTTATTTGGAATATAATCTCTTTCCTATTCAACCATGTTTTGATTTGGGGACTTATCGAGTGAATTGGTGTCCAAGAATACTAAGCAATAGGAATAGCTGGGACATACTCTAAGAAAGAGATTATAACAGCTATACTGATAGGATAGGAATTTTAATAAGTTGATTAGGAAAATCGATGAGACCATAATTTATGAACGAACTAATGAAATTAAGGGTGCCAACTCTTTAATTTCTGTGCAAAATTCATTTATTCGTACAGTTACAATCGCATTTTGGTATTATAGTTGATATCAGCTCGTAATTAGTCGGGTCAAGTATCACGCATGCTCAACCATGGACTATCACGGCTCGCCATGTTGAATAGTATTGAAGAAAGATGGAAGAAAGGTAGGGGCAGCCAAAAAACGTGGTATTATTCCATAAGGTCACCAACTTCTGGTTTGAGCCATGTTGGTAGATGTAGACTACTCGGTTGGGGTATGCGCGACTATTGTAACCAATAATTGGAGACTGGGTGACATGGTTCAGAATCGATCACAATGGCGTAGGTGTATATACTCTCTGTCCTTCCTTAAACCGTAAGATCAAAATTACTTCATAACTTTCTTCCTACGAACCACTTCTTTCTATATGCATTATATCTTTATATGCAATCTTTCTTTTATATATAACCACTACTGGAGTAACTATTTCCATGAATTTGGTGATGATCTTGCTGTGCTAATGAGGTGTGACAACTTGGTGCAATGCATATATATGCCTGGTCCTACGTTGCGGATGACTGGTGACTGACGGACTCAGTTCGTAATAAAAACTCTTACTTTAGTTCCTAACCTTAAATAATCACTAAACCCCGATCTCAATTCCTCATACTAACCTTCCTTTGACCCTAGTATGTCTCATGGTCACTATAGCATTGCTCAGAGGTCTCCGAGAAATCACTGCATCTTTCAGTTCTACAGCATAATATTTTCCAAATATTCTTCAATTTTGTGTATGAATTTTTCTCACTAAGACTTAATGTTGAATGAATACTTGATGTATCTTACAAACAACAATATATTTCTATAGAATAGATGGATTATAGCTAGCAGTGGAATCCCAAATGTGCATTTCATTTTATCACAACTGGATATATCTGCGTCCCAGTGTTAATATTCATATTAGGGCTCGAATACCTTACGTTTTGCTCTGAACTCTAACGCGTTTTCCATTGAGTAGGTTACTGAATCCAAGTGTTTACTAGCTTATCGATAAAAAGTTAATTCGAACTTTTTCTAATAATGATATAAACTAAACGTCGGTTAAAAGTAATCGATGTCGGAACGAACTATTATCCATATCATTGTGGCTTCGATTTCTACTCTGTTTCATCAAATTTAAAGCGTTCCCATTCATGTAGTTTTTATAACTTTATAGTTTAATACAGTGTATGGCTTAAACTATTTTTTTGTGGTTTCTACTTCGTTGATTGAATTTTCGTTTTGTGCAAAAGTTCTTTTCAAATCAATATCATGACAAGTAAGACATTTTGAATATTGATGTTTGTTTGGTGAGCATGTCTAGTTACTCACTTTTTTCTTGATTTCACTAGTTATAATGCTTACCAAATTAAAATACACCTAGAAAAGAAATATGTTTAAGAAAGATATGAAATTCACATTAATCGATCAACTAATTGTGACCAATGTTCAATTGTCTAATTCTAAGTGCTAATCGAATCCTATCGATCAAATTTTAGTTTAGTTATTATCTTAATTGAGTCGACGTTTCAGAGTTCTTTATTGATTGCTGTGTAACCTTAATAGATCAATGGTGACTTCCCTAACTGATACTTGGTTATTCGAGTAGAAAGATTTTGTACTAAAAGAATTGTTTGAATAAAATTCGTATGATATGTCATTGTTGGCAAGCGTATCAATTATTTAGTTATTGATATTCAGGACTGAATTTTTGATCAATATATATGCAACGTGTGCAGAATACTGCGATATAACCACGTTGTCACTAGGTTTTTTAGAATAGGTCGGTAAATAACCCATTGATATTTGAAGCAAAATGTTTTCATGTTCGAGTCTGGGTGTGAACATGAACACTGGAGTGCAAGTATGTCTAGCTAACGAGTTCAAAACCAGGTAAAAAGGACATTTTTAATTCCAGCACTAGCCACAGTTCACATTTGATTAAAACATTCTCATAATATTTTATAAGGTATGTGAATCAAATTAAGTCGAAATGGTATTCTTCTCTCATAATTTTTTTAATCTAATAGATAACCTTATGTTTCCTTTCTTAATTCAATTAAAACATTGTTCATTTCACTTTAAATCAATAACACTTCGTCTTTCTTTCTTTCTATATAAACCCTTTAGTTGCCAAGATCGTGATGACTTGCAATGTATCACTTTAGAATCTATTTTAAATGAATTTTTTAAATTACATATAATACTTATTTTATTTTAGGGTCATATATTTAAAATAACTTTAGCAATTCTTAACATATAACAGAGTTTTAAAAGATAAAACCCAGATTCATAGTTAGTAGAAGGTCATTACATTGGTGATAATGTATGGATTTTCTTTAAAAAAAATTTCTCCACGTTTATTTCGTCAAATTATATTAAACTGTTATAGAAACATACATAAGATCAATGTTAATTAATTAATTATAATTGACAATCCGTTTGTTTAATTCTATTAATCTGAATTTGTTCAAGCTATTCATTTTTATAATTAAAAATATCATTATCTTATTATTCAAAATAGAATAGATACATCATATACATTGTGATATCTGTTATATGTATCTCTGTGTGTGTGTGTGTTCTAAGCGGTTTTATAAACATTATGACGTAACAAAATGGAGTTGTTGTTAGAACAAATATCTATGCGGGATTTTACTTAGTTTTTAGTTTATAGTGAATTAATTTTACAGAAAATACAATAGAGGAATCATTGAAATTTTCCAGTTATTTTTTAAATATTATTGTTGAACGAAATGTTCATGATAAATTGACTTTTTCATAACTTAATGGCAATAATATAGATGTAACTATTATTAAAACCCTTTTGTAAATTTAAGAACTCAACAATTCTGCATAAGTATGAAGTTTTGGATTTGTCACTCGTAAACTAATCAGTGTTTTCACAGGTAAAAAGTTATGATTTAGGTATATATTACCAATCATATTCGTCTATTCTTTGTTCCAATTACAAATTACTTTATATTACATAGTAGAATAATATGTTCAGAAGTTTTATCTGATTAAAATTTGATCGGTTTACTGATATTCATGATTTAAAAATTGTTGGAAATGTAGTAAACTTATTCATCAGGTACTTGGATTTGAAGCACACTCTAAGTATGAGTGTTAGTGATACTACTCAGTTTCTTAAACTAAGGTGAATGGAATAGGATTCGAACCAGAGGCGTAGTGACTGAAAGTCGGATGCTTTAGCCACTAAGTCATCATTACATTATATCTCTTCGTGATATTCTTAGATATTTGTTATTTGTAAAGGCATCATAGGTTTGATTCTAGTTAAATTCGCTTATTTTTTCTAATAACTTGTGCTTAGTCAAAGTTATAAATCCTCAACACACAAATCACATTATTGCGATAAACCTTTTTAAAATGCATTGAAATTGTAAATATTTCATAGATATCATAAAATAAATTTTTCAGTAATTTTGGCCATTCGTCATCAGTTCCAAGGTTTTTCGTCAAGTTTTACCCCACACATTATTTCCCAATACATCATATATTCGATGCATGAATTTAAACGTACTCGCCTCCAATATAACAGTCAATGTATTGTTTTCGCTTATATTTTTCTCAGTAGTTAGCATCATGATAGATTTTTTTTAACATTTTGTGAAAGCTCATGAATAAATCGTATGGTTATTATTAGCTTCAAAGTTTTGAAATATGAATCAGTTTTGAAGCATTCGCATAGTAACAAATGAATTCGCATTTGATCAATTCATCATTATCAAACATTATTCAAAAAAGTTCTATCTTATCTTATTTCTGATTGTATTTTTAGCCCTACTAAAATGGGTTTACTAGATCCAGATACTCGTGATGGTCGTGTGATCTTCTTTTTACCATGGATGAATTATGCGTTAGCTGGCACTACAGATACTGAATGCAATGTGACTGATCAACCTTCGCCTTCTGAAGCTGAAGTGAACTTTATCTTGGAAGAAATTAGTAGTTATCTTTCTCCGGAAATCCAAGGTAAGTGTTTAGTTTTGGTTTTCCTTTGTGAGAATGGTTCATCAGGTGCTCGTATACTACCCTTTAGTTTTTTTATCGTTTTACACCTGTGTAAATCTGTGGTTACATAATATATCAGTTTATTTTTTAAGTTCTCATTTTTAAGTAACTTCAGTATATATATTTTTAAGACAGTCGATACCGTAGAGAATTATGCAGCCCGAATACCTCAGTAGTACTGTAGAGAACAAATAATTAAGTGGAGATGAACAATTTATTGTCCAATGCACAATCACACAGTGGTTTAGTGAAATGTGCAAGTCATACATCAAATACATCATTTGCACATTTTCTTTGAATTGTTTCCCACAAGCTTCATTGTTCCTTCATTCCTGTTTTTATCTTGATTGATTTCAGTTTCCTTCTCTCTTCTCTTCTTTTCAATATTCTCAACCTTCTTCTTGCAGATATTCCACTTTTGACTGCTGTTACATACTACTTATATCTGAAAAAGTAAGTAGCATACACCATGGTACCACCTGGGATTGTGACACTTGTTAATGCGGTTCAGAATGTCACAGGGAATATGTTTTTTATTATATTAAACAGTGGTTTAGTGGCTAAAGCGTCGAATGTCTAGCCATCAAATCCCTTGCCCTAACCCTACTTCACCTGCTGTAGTTTGGGCAACTGAATAGTATCACTACCTGTCAAACTACAAGTGTAATTCATATTCGAGTACCTAATCAATTAATCAACTTAATTTTAAATCATTAATGATTACATCGATCATTCGATTTTATCATATCAATTTTTCTAGTTCATAATCTTGATTTGCTCCACTCTCAGGTGTCGTTGACACATTTCATTGCTTTCGTACACAGTCACTTAGTTTCGGCCGTACAATATTCTAATCAATGTCCTAGGAACCTTCTTTTACATTTAATGGATAATTACAACATCTTATTCAACCATTTAACTATTTTTATGAATGTTTGCCACACTAAGTCGATATGTTTTTGCACCTTATTTTAACCATTTTCACTTGTATAGGTACGTTAAACTTCATTGGAAGTCTTGGTTTTAAAACATATAGGTTATAAGCCGTTAAATGATCGCTTCAAATGGTTGTTCCTGTTCTTAATAAGTCAATAAAAGGAATTAAGCGTTAAATATCAGTTTCTTTAGAATTGAAGATATGTTTTCGTAAGTTGCACTAAGTAGTTCGAAGCGTAGATTCCTTGGCCCCCTAACAATTTTTCCACTCGCTTCATATCAAACTACGTACATCGGTATTCTGAGTCAGTGAGGGTCAGAATTCATCTTTATATATATATATATATATATATATATATATATATATATATATATATATATATATAATTTGATGAGGAATTATAGATGGTGCACCATTCAAACTGGCTGCCTTCAACGTTCGCACACTAGTGCAGGTCGGACAACAGATAGGGCTGGCTATGTCTTTGGAAAGTCTTAATATTGATGTTTGTTGTCTATCCGAGACCCGTATTCAAGACTCTGGCGAAGTACTACAAATTCGCTCTCCATCTGTCGCTTCGAAAAGCTTGTGTTACGTGCGCTTATCCGGGGACCCTGTGGCATCTTCGTCTGGTCTTGCTGGCGTTGGTGTCGCACTTAGCGCTAGAGCTGAGGCACCACTAATCGATTGGATCCCCATTTACAGTCGGTTATGTGCTGTTAGATTGGAAAGTTCCATCAAAGTGAGAAGAAATCGGCGTGAGAAACGATGTCTTTTCGTCATCTCCGCCTATGCGCCGACAGATTGCAGCCTGGATGCAATCAAGGATGAGTTTTACCACCAGCTGTCTGTTCTTCTCCAGAAAGTGCGCTCGACAGATATTGTAGTACTAGCCGGAGACTTGAATGCTCAGGTCGGGCGTCTAGGCACAGAAGAGAGTCGTTTAGGTGGCCGATGGGGACTCGTTGGTCGCAGGTCAGATAACGGGGACCGTCTACTGCAACTTTGCACAGACCACAACCTGTTTCTGGCTAGCACTAACTTTCGGCACAGTCATCGCCGATGTGCCACCTGGCGTCCTCCCTCTGCATCTCAAGCCTGAACTCAGATTGATCACATCGCGATCAGCTACTGCTGGCGTGGTTGTGTACAAGATTGCCGCTCCTTTTGGAGTACTTATCTGGACTCTGACCATGCCTTGGTCTGCGCCAATCTTGCCTTACTTTTCAGTGGACAACGAAGTGACCGCCACCAACGGATTGATGTTAGCAAGCTGGTTGCAACTTCTGTTGCAAATAAGTATTGAACCGAGCTAGCCTCTAGGCTAGCTACCACTCCACCGAAAAGTATAGATGAGCATTGGTCGCGATTGCATGACGCCATGAAAATGGCGGGTACAGTCAGTTGTGGGTTCGCGAAACGTCCCGCTTATAAGCACTGGGTTTCTTCTGGTTCCTTACAACTCATTGAAGCCTGTCGGTCTACTCCGGGTGACCGTGAGTTTGACCATAAACGAAGGATGTTACGTAAGGAAATTGGGCAAAGCTTGCGTAAGGACCGAGAAGCCTGGTGGTCGGAGCGTGCTAATGAGCTGGAAGCAGCAGCTGCATCTGGTAACTACCGGAAGCTCTTCCAGCTCATCCGAGCCACTGGCAGCAAGAAGTCTGGTGTGAGTGAAACAATCTGTAGGGATGATGGGATGCCAATCACTAACATCCATCGACGTCTTGGACGATGGGCAGAATTTTTCGAAGGGCAGTTCAACTGGCCTGCTGCTCCGGCAACATCAGTCAGACTGTCCTGCCCTCCATGGCCGGTGACGACTGATCCACCAAACGAGGAGGAAGTCCGCAAGGAACTCCAACTCTTGAAGCGTTACAAATAACCTGGCCCAGATGACTTACCTCCGGCTCTTTTTAAAGATGGTGGTGAATTTTTGACTAAGGAATTGACGACGTTGTTTACAAAGGTTTGGGAATTAGAGAGTGTACCAACGTCATGGAATGAGTCGATAGTTGTCCCTATCTTTAAAAAGGGTTCACGTCGTTCCTGTAACAACTATCGGGGGATAAGTCTACTTCCGATTGCGTCCAAGCTATTGGCTTCCGTCATACTTCGTAGGTTGTTCAAAACCCGAGAAAGACTGACTCGCGAGGAGCAGGCTGGGTTTCGTTCTGGTCGAGGATGTATTGATCATATCATCTTCACCCTCCGCCAAATGTTAGAACATCGCCATGCTTATCAAAGGCCAACAATCGTAGTGTTTCTTGACATCAGGGCTGCCTTCGATTCGTTGGACAGGACTGTTCTCTGGGATTGTCTATTGAAGAAGGGTGTGCCTGAGAAGTTTATTAACATCCTAAAAGCCCTATACACAAACACAGGCAGAGTGAGGGCATACAACCACCTCTCTCCATTGTTCCATTCGAGCAGTGGGGTTAGGCAGGATTGCTCAATCTCACCATTTCTCTTCAACTTTGCCATCGATGACATTCTGGAAACAGCTCTGATGAATGTAAGTAATGGTGGTGTGGATCTGTTGCCTGGAGAAAGACTTCCCAACCTTGAGTATGCGTATGATATTGTCTTACTGTGCGATAATGCCCAAGGCATGCACTCCGCACTTAATCAGTTGGCAATCAGTGTCCGTAGTTATGGTATGTGCTTTGCACTTTCGAAGTACGAAGTACTTCTACAAGACTGGCAGGATTCCAATCCTGTACTCACCCTGCATGGTGAGCAGATAGAAGTCGAGAAGTTCGTGTATCTGGGTAGCTGCATAAGTGGTGGTGGGTGTGTGAGTGATGAGATCAATGCACGAATAGTGAAAGCCAGAGCGGCTTATGCCAATCTGGGCCATCTTTGGCGCCTGCGTGATGTTAGTCTGGCGTTAAAAGGTCGGATCTACAACGCGTCGGTGAGAGCAGTTTTACTCTATGCTTGTGAAACCTGGTCTCTCCGAGTTTAGGACGTTAGACGACTTTCTGTGTTGGATCATTGTTGTCTTCGAAGTATTGCTGACATTCATGGCAACACCATGTTAGCAATGCAGAGGTTCGGCATCGTGTGTTCGGTTGCAGAGATGATAATGCAATTGGTGTCGCCATCTTGAAACACCGACTTCGGTGTCTTGGACATGTTCTACGAATGTCGTCCCAGAGAATTCCACGTCGTGCATTATTTGCCGACTCTGGGACTAGTTGGAAAAAGCGGAGAGGTGGTCAGTGCTATGAGATGGTGTCGTGGTATGAAAGAAAGCTGCAAAGGACTGGCTTGTGTTGGTCCTTCACGACTCCCTGGTTGGGGTTTGAGAGATGGTGCTACACAGTGGCTAGAGACGTTATCAGATATGGCTCAGAATAGAAGCCAGTGGCGATCCTGCTGTAACCTTCTTTTACTTTCTTCATAAAAAGTGGTTGTCTCCCTTACTTGAAAGATTTTTTCTGATTGCACCTTTCCGTTCCCTCGTTACTACCACACTACCTTACACCAATCTCTTCGTTATCGTTCTCGTTTTCTTTTGTGCTCCTTAGTTTTTTTTTCTATCTCTCTTCGAATTTTCATTGTTTTGTGTGGCGCATATATATTGGCGCTCTCTTGTACCAATATTTATGTGTTCAAATAAATAAATAAATAAACTCAGTCACGGGAAAGGATTAAATAAGTAGCACATACAATTAAATATCTAGATTTTGGACAATATGTCAAGTTCTCGGATTATATCCTTAATCTTATGCCACATATAGACCTAGCTAATTTCAAAATTTTTGTGTTTTCTTAGCTTGAGTTTAAGTTATAAACTTTTCTTTGTCTTCCCAGACAAAATCTTGTGCTCAAGACATGTGGATTTATATTAATGTCTGCAAGTAGCTTTCAGCATATCTCTTAACTATGGTTTTGTCTAAATATTATCAGTAGGTGTGCTATTACTGTTTGTATACAAAAGTTTCAATTGATTGCTTTTTTAAAATATAATTTTCGGTGTTAAACATTACCGTCGTCTTTTTTTCCTTAATAATTTTATGTATTTGGTTTTAGGCGTTGTAGTTATCAGAGAGTGTCCATATAATCATATTGTAATTAAATATTTCCATCAAATTACTAGCTATAATTCAGTCATTTAGAAAACGGCGTTCATTTGTTTCCATATTAATAATGATAACAATACTAATCGTTTTTTTCAATATTACATTATAGAATTATCAGCGTACAATATTTTAAAGAGTTCCTCTTTGCAATACTGGATATGCTCCAGGTTCAAGGAGTATAAATGTTTGTGAACCGGCCATCCTTTTCAATTTGATCATTGTATAGTGTATAAACTAAGTATGGTGTTGTTTAGCTTTCAACTTTTCGTTGATTGTGTGAATTCTGACGTGCATTTGTATCTTATTTTACCATTATGCTTATACATTAAGTTAATATCTTGTAATATCTTCAGGGCTTTTCTCTATTCTTAAATAACTTGAATATTTGCATATTATTTTTTGCCTGCTGTTTGATTAATAATTCATCTTTAATATGAAATCATAATTGGTTGACATGATATTCTGAATCTTATCTACATTTATACAGTACACTTGAATAAACATAGTTTTGCTTAATCAATATTACATTATCATACCTAATGTTTTAGTTAAAATGTAACTCAATTTTTTCGTTTCATTTACTTTTTTTATTGCTATATTTCTTTGTTAATAGTTCGTCGTGGTGATGTACTGTCATCTTGGGCAGGTATTCGACCACTTGTTCGTGACCCAAATTCTTCTGATACACAATCGATTGCACGTAATCATATTATTGATGTTTCTCCATCTAAATTGATAACAATTGCTGGTGGTAAATGGACAACTTACAGAAGTATGGCAGAAGAGACTGTGGATAGAGCGATAAAGGTAGTAAACAAGTTCTGTCTTTATTTGAATAGTTCACTAATAAAAGTCGCTATTTTATTACCAGTGAATCAGTTAATGAGTACTTGTTTATGCAGTTAACTTTAAGCAGCACTGTTTTTGTAAAGTTAAGTAATACTATGTGGTTATTTAAACTGAGTTTGGTGAAATGTGATATGATACTCAATCGTCAGATCATTTAACCGCTAAGTTATCGTTGTTTGATAAACACAGTCCTACATTTTATACCCTTAATAGCTGATTGTCATTAGAATTAATAATTGTTTTAATATTTCCATTTCGTTATTACAAGAGAAATATACAGGAATTTATCGGGAATTATTTTATTCTGTTTTATTAATTAACTAGGTATGTGATCTTAAACCAACTGGTCCATGTCGTACCAAAGGTCTTCTTTTAGAGGGTGCTCATGGTTGGTCACCAAATCTATTTATACAAATTGTTCAAGAATATGGTATGGATGTTGATGTGGCACGCCATTTAACTGGGATTTATGGTGATAAAGCTATAACTATAGCTAATATGTCCAAACTAACTGGTTTAAGATGGCCAATATTAGGTAAAAAATTACATCCTGAATTTCCTTTTATTGAAGCTGAGGTAAGTTTATTTTGTCATAAAATTGATAATTTGTATAATAAGATGAATAGTGCTATTATTGTCTGTGAAACTGCCTTCACTTTTTCTACATAGGCATGTTATACTGTATATTTTACAAGTAGTTTGGGAACATGTTATAGAATGTCAAACCAATAAATATGCATACTATCATTAAGTTTCTTGTTTCAAAATACCTTAATCTTTTCAACATTTCTTGTCTGTTGAGGTCTGTTTTGTACTGATTTGGCCGATCTATTTTAGCTGTCAAGTTTGTCTGGACTGCTGTTTCATAATGATTGTCACTATTTAATACCGTTAGTTTACGAATTAACAAGATGAAAGCTCCCTGTTATCAACATTATTTCCAATGAAGTTATTGTACAGTTAAGTTAGTTCAACCATACAGATCAATATATAAATAATGTTTATTAATCGGTTTCCAAGTGAATTCATAATATGTAACACTCACTGGTGTCAATTGTCCATTGTGACACGTTTCACTTTTATCCGTATACCACGTCAAAGGAATTTTCATTATGAAAAGACATCTGCTTGATAACTGTTGAATAACAGCTTTGACATCATTTCGTGATAAAAATTTGCCTTTCCATATTATGTTCATGAAACAGTGTAAGTCTGTAAAACTTGTGTTCGCTCGCTAGTGGTTAGCTTCGAAAGAACTCTCCTAAAGTCTGCAAACTAAGTGCTTATGTATGGTTAGCATGTTGATGTCCTCACTATTTCATTTTTTAAGTTCGAATCAAATGGAAATATGCTCATTGGTTCATTTTTCAATCAATCAGTCCTAGTGGACGAATTAATATACTGAAAGATACTTAAGTAAATATTACATAAGTACTAATGTTTTACTACTGTATCTATTTTGTTCGGGTTTATTAGAAAGTAGATTGTTTTCTCCCAATTCTTGTTCTGATTTAGGAATAGTTAAATGAAGTATAGAGCTTCCAGGGAATAATACTAAACAGTACATTATTATGTCCCTGGAACACTTAACTGACTTGGGACTCGTTACTGAAACTGAATTAGATAACGTAAGACAAGCACAACGACGATAAATCAGGATTTATTTGGTCTCCATAGTAAATCAAAATGTTAAATGAATGCACAATGTTTTCTATGATTTATTTACGGTCAGATTAACAATTAGATACAATAAATATAAAAGGTAAAACCATATCATCAACAGAAATAACATCTTTGTTCACTAATATTCCACTGACAGAAACCTATGACATATATGAACAACCGCCAGAAAAGAAAAGAAAGGTACCGATCACGATAAATACATTGAAGGAGCTTCTGTTGAAATGCACTACGAATATCTGCTTCATGTTTAACAACAAAATTTATAGACCAGTAGATGGAGTAGCAATGAAATCACCCATAAGCCTGATCCTCGCCAATATTTTTCTATTCAAACAAGAAAATGGACTGGTGGGTGATATCCTAAATAAGCTAGATTATTTTCATTGTTACACAGATGAAATACTAATCGTGTGTGACGAAACTAACGACAAACAAGAGGTTTTGAACAGTTTAGATCACGTTCACCCAGCTATTAAATTCCCCAGCCAAGAAAAGAACGATAATAGAATAGCTTTCCTTGATGTATCACTTTTTTGGGAAAATAGACGGCTCCATAAAAAGAATTGTATTTAGGTAGAATACTTGGACTGGTCAGTATACCTATTTGCACAGTTTTAAACCTCTTCAATACAAAATAAATTTAGTCAAATGTTTTAGTCACAGAATCAATGTATTATGTTCTGAGGATATAGTAGATATTGAAATAAATAAACTAAAGAACACAATACGGCATATTGGCTGTCCAGATAATGTCAGATTTCTATCAGAAGGTAAGAAATAACAAACTAATACAATCAGCGAGAAAACCCTCTATCTGAAACTCTATTTACAAGAGGACATAGCAAGTGACATTTCAACACGTCAACTCAAAAAATCTGTTGAGAAGACATTTCATGCAGCCAATTTACTTGTGACCTTCTCAACCAAATCAATAACTACGCAACAAATCAGGGGTAGTTTACCGATGATGATGTGTGTACACCAATTCGACTACTCCTATAGAGCTGGTTACCTAGGTCAGAGGGGCTTTATCCTATCATGTTCGTGAGCATGTAACAGTATGGTTGGGAAAAAAGAGTCACTGAATTTTTTAACAATGCCATTCTTTCTCACTTGGTAGATAGTGAGCATCATATAAAAATACATGAAGCTTTCACTATTTTGTGTCGAGTTCTAAACAATCTACATATCTGAAGCCATCTGAATGAACTCCGGAAAACCTAACTTATTTATCCAGAAGAGATATAGTCAGCATGTTTACCTTGGTTCACGACAGAATCACCAGATACCTAGGCTAGATGTTATAAACTTCTTATTCCCTCTCCTCATTCCCTATGTGTTTCTATCTTTCTATACTCCACGTTCACCTTTCTCAATTCACACGAATTCTTTTTTATTGCAATTAACCTGACAACACCCCTCTTATTGCATATTATATTCACACAATGTTATTATTGCCTCATTTAACAAGACGAAATTCTCCTACTATACTGTTCACACGACTAACTGTATTGATATTATATTGATTAATACTTAACACTATTACGAATCATTCTGACCTTTGTTAAATGACCCTACTAATTGACAAATAACACGATTTCGAAGCATTTATGCCGGAACAAATGCAGAAGTTTACCATTGTCGAAATCACTAATTCATACCTTATTTAGGTCTTTATAAAATATCACAGTAATCACGGACCTCTAACTGTAGAGCCTAACATGATTTATTTCTTGAACCCATATTTAAAATATCATACAATTATGCGTCCATAACTAACAGATATAGACTTGACTATGTAGTATTTACTCCTTCCCACAATGTGATTACATTTTACAGATGATTGGGAAGAAAAATCAATGTGATGTGTTATTCACACCACTAGATTACGTCACTCATTGCTTACAATATCATACATGAAATTTACTCTTTTTTTAAAAAAAAACCCTTCTGTTTAATGTTTTTCTAGGTGGAATATGCATGTCGAGAATATGCTTGTCATGTTGTCGACTTTCTTGCTCGTCGTACTCGTTTAGCATTTTTGAATGTACGAGCTGCGGAAGAAGCTTTACCAAGAATTGTTGATTTAATGGGTGAACATTTAAAATGGAACAGTGAGAGAAAAAAGCAAGAGATGCGTGAGGCAGAGGTAAACTAGAATTTCGATAAGATATTTGTGTAATATATTTGCTTTATTTATTTTTTCTACCGTATTACTAATAGTGAAACTGCATACACATTTTTTTCATAGCAAACTATACTCGGTCTTTTGAATCAACGTTGAGTTTAAACTCGTGACTTACTTGTGTCTGTTACTCGTCGTGGAGTATAAGCTGCCGACCAACAATCTTCAACCTACTTTGTCCTTGGCTCTCCTTACAAGTTTTCACCAGGTGTTATTCATTCTTTTGATGTCTGTCTTCAACTTATGGTGCGATGTATTCTCTGATTTGCCTCTTTTCTATTTGCCTTAAGAATTCCAATTGAGGACTTGCCTTGTGATTCACTTTGATGATATTTTTTATGTGTTTCCTATCCACCTATCCTATTCACATATCGAATATACTGCGATCTAGATTTTTCGGGTATTATAAAGAAATATCTTAATGAACATATTTTCAGCAAGCTCAAACAGCTTATAGTTTTTCTCCATCTAATTCTTTTTTTACACATTATTAGTTACAGACCTTTTTGCGAAGGATCCTTTGCATATGTCACACTTAGTGATTGATAATTTTCATATAAACGTATAATTTTAATTAAGAAACAGTATTAAAATTCATATACAGAGATGGGTTGTAGTAAACACTGGAGTTCAGAACTTGCGTTTTATGCTTCTCTGAGTCGATGTTCACTCAAACACTTGAATCCAGTACCGTTCGCTTTAAACACAATAAGGTTATCCACCCAGCTAAAGTTCAGATAGCCATGATCTTGTGCACTGGGGTGAGGTTTAATTTTTGTGTATTATTTATTGGGAATATTCAAATTATCAATACTAAGATTGGTTAATTAAGTGATTTCCTACTGTTATTATTAATTTTGAGTAGCAGACATTTAGAATTGCGATGTTGGCTAGTTGGTCGCTAAAAATAATTATGATATTAATCTACTAGAAAGGATTGACAACTGAAATGTCCAGGATTTGTGTAGTTGTTTGTAACTGAACTATTTTTGTATTTCTAATGTATTATATGGTATTCATATGTAAATCTGACTATAAACCTTTTTTTGATCGATAGTCATCATAACATATACTAGTTTTCCTAAGAAATATAATCCAATTAATTATAAATTCGTTATTCCTAGTTGTATCAAATTTTTCCCTCACTTAATACCTACCGTTTATAATTTCATGTACCTCATAGTCTTATGACTAATTTTATGTGTCATGATTCAAACCATCGAGCGGTTGTAATGGTTAATTTTACCTTCTGTTGTTTTTATTGAACGTTGGTTTGAAGACATCATAAATTCCACAGCGTAGAATCGTCTGAATTTCGTTGTTTTAGGTAACTTGCAATCAGTAGTAAGAATGGATCCAACCAGTCAGTTGATAATGATTCAAGAATAATCATATAACATATTTGTGTTGTTTGTTATGGATATACTCCATAGTCATCTGACAATTTCATACTAAGCGAAAACCTCGTTTCCACCGGTGTGGTACAAAGGTATGTCACATCTTATTTGGTTTTTGCATACTTACTTACTTACGTCTGTTACCCCTCATGAAGGAGCATAGGCCGCTCACCAACATTCGCCATCCAACTCTGTCTTGGGCAATCTTTCCTAGTTCTTTCCAGTTGCTATTCATCCTTTTCACATCTGCTTCCGATTCTCGGTGCAGTGTTGTTTGGTCATTCTTTCTTCCATTTCCCTTCACGATTCCATGCTAGGGCTTGCCTCTGGTGCTGTTTGATGGTTTTCGAAATGTACATTTTATCCACTTCCAACGTCTTTTCCTAATTTCCTCTTCGAATGGAAGCTGGTTTTTCCTCTCTCATAGTAGGGTGTTGCTGATGGTATCCGGCGAGAGACATTGAGTATTTTGTGTAGACAGTTGTTTACAAATACTTGTACTTTTTTGGTGATGGTTGTAGTAGTCCTCCAAGTTTCAGCTACATATAGTAGAACTGTCTTGACGTTCGTATTGAAGGTTCTCACTTTGGTATTAGTTGGCAGTTGTTTTGAGTTGCATATGTTGTTCAACTTTAGAAATGTTGTCCTTTGTCAATCCTCGCCTTGATGACTGTATCTGATCCTCTTTGTTCATTAATGATACTGTCCAGACAGGTACGTGAAAGTTTCCATCTGTTCGAGAGTTTCTACATCAAGTGTGTTTGGTTTGGTGTGTGTTCTCCGTGTTGAATTTGAGGATCTTGATTTTTCCCTTGTGTATACTGAGGCCTCTTAATGCAGATGCTGCTGATACAGTAGTTGTCTTCATCTACATTTGTTGTTTATGGGATAGAAGGGCCTGTTCATCTGCGATGTCCAAATCGTGTAGTTGCTTGCGAGCTGTCCATTTTATTCCGTTGGTTTTTGCATACTTTTTGTATTTTACAGCCTTAATGAATACTTTTAAGAAAAGGGAGTTGTGTCGTAGTTGTTGGTATCTAGATTATCTCACTTCTATCTCAAGCATGTGTTGATGTTTTTGTTTAGAAAGACTGTGAAAACCTCACTAATAAATCACCTGGTTCTGGGATAGCTTTTTATTTAAATTTTTTAAATATTTACACAGGTTTTTATTAGACCCATTACACGCCTAATAATGAGAATATGAACATAAGAAACGCTTTATGGAAATGTTATTATTGATTCCTACCTGCGTTTTAGTTAGATACTTACCATTTGAAATAATTATTGAGAGGAAAATTTTTGTCGAACAAATTTCCATTAATGGACGGTCGTATTGAATGATTAATTCATCTAAACAAATGAAAAATTTATTGTCCTGTAAATTTTATTAGATTAGCAAATGCCAAAAAATCTTTCGCCTGGCGAAAATTCATCCATTTACTCAGACTCAATTGATTTCATCACGTGTATCACTGTTAACTTAGCTACGGAATTTACATTAAGTTGGAATATTTTATTAGGTTGGTGGACGGAGGTTTGATGGTCGACGCTAATGGACAGAAAGCTTTGAGGATATATGTCGTGTTAGCTGTTCATTTATCGATAAAGCGTATTTATAATATTGAGTCAGTTGTTGCTCTCCACAGGATTAAACCATTGCGTTACAGTTCGTGTGACTTTGATCACTGAACTTTTGAGGTTAATTGGTGGGATTCGGTTAGCATTAATCACTATAGGTCACGAAACTGATCACTACTAAGTAACAAATTAGTTTATAATGTAGGAATCTCAAACAATTAGTTGGCTATGAATGCCCAATAATTCCTCTCTCTCCATATATATATATATATATATATATATATATATATATATATATATATATATATATATATATATATATATATATATATATACATTCAGACGCCCCACAATGGTAGTATTTCTCGATCTTAAGGCGGCATTCGACTCTGTTGACCGTGAGGTTCTATGGCAGTGTTTGTCACTGAAAGGAGTACCAAAGAAGTACATTAACCTTATAAAGGCTCTCTACTCGAACACAACTGGTAGAGTGAGAGCTTATGGCGAACTGTCATCAGAATTGATTACCTCAAGTGGTGTTCGTCAGGGCTGTCCACTCTCCCCATTCTTGTTCAACTTTGTGGTCGACGTACTTTTAGAGATAACACTCTCCTCATCTAAATTTCGAGGGGTTGAACTTCTACCAGGAGGTTCACTTGTTGACTTAGAATATGCAGATGACATAGTTTTATTTGGTGTAGACGCTGACAAAATGCAGAGTCTTCTGACCACTCTAAGCAACAATGCAAGCATGTTCGGGATGCGATTCTCTCCCTCGAAATGCAAAATGTTGCTTCAGGATTGAGTTACATCGACACCCGAACTAGTGATAGGGAGTGAAGTAGTTGAGTGTGTCGACCGCTTCACTTATCTTGGAAGTCTCATCAGCCCTTGTGGTTTGGTGTGTGACGAAATCTCAGCACGGATACAGAAGGCTGGACTAGCTTTTGCCAACTTGCGTCATTTATGGCGTAGGCGAGATATCCGTCTTCCAACCAAAGGACGGGTTTACTGCGCAGCAGTTCGTTCCGTCCTACTTTATGGCAGTGAAACATGGCCGGTAAGAGTAGAGGATATTCGTAGGTTACTAGTATTTGATCATAGGTGTCTTTGAAACGTTGCTCGTATATCATGGGATCATTGAGTAAGTAACACAGTTGTTAGGAAACGGGTACTAAGTAAGGATGGCAAATCAATTGATGAAGTAGTGAAACTTCATCAGTTGAGATGGCTGGGACACGTGTTACGTATGCCCAACGACCGACTGCCTCGACGTGCGATGTTCAGTGGTATAGGAGTGGGTTGGAAGAAAGCTAGGGGCGGCCAAACCAAAACATGGCACAAATCCATGAAGTCACTGACAAGTGGACTGAGTCATGTTGGTAGGTGTAAACTACCTGGTTGGCGACCGCAAGATGATAGCAACCGATGGTTAGAGACCCTGAATGACATGGCTCAAAATCGTTTGCAATGGCGCAGGTGCATCCACTCTCTATGTTCTCCCAAATTCTAATCTTCTGAATTCTTCATGTCCCTTTTTTCCTCTTTCCAAATTTATTTCACTGGATTATACGCGTTAAATAACATCTCCAAACCCTAATCTTCCCGATTACTGCTTATACTCTTGCTACCTCTACCACAATGGGATTTGAATCGACCACTGCATCTCTGTGCTAATGTGATATGGCAACTCGAACTGATGTACGTACGTACTAAGTTCTACGTTGTTACTGACTGACTGTCATATGGAAGCATAGATTAGCCACGAAATCCATCTAATTTCTTGCACTATTGATAATACGTGCTGTTACGTTTTACACGTATATTTTCTTCATTGGTGGATGATTATGATGATGATAATGACGATGAAAATGATGGTATCAAAATGTTTTTATTCTAATTACTACCAAATGTTTCATCTTTATTTCAGTGGATAAAGCGTTAGATGAAAACAAGAAAATTATTATTATCCCATATATTTTTCCTTACTACAGAAAATATGTTTTATGACGACTTTCTTCAGGACTGTGTTGTTGATGATAATTTCGATTGAATTATAACTTAAAGATATCATTTTTTACGGACTAACTCCATTTGAATAGTAAATAATATTCAAAGAAAATAAGATAGTTCTTTTGTCTTTTATTGATGCTCTGTATTAGTGTACACTTATCAAGGATCGAACTTATTATCAGTCTGTCGATCAGTAGTTAGAACGATGACCAAATTGAAGGGTCTTCACAGACCTATCTCAATAATGATCTTGTGCTCAGTGGTGGATACCTGTAGGAAAAAATTCGAAATTTCTAGTGCATGCATATGACCAGTGGAGTTCAAACATGTTACTAGTAAGGTATGTATGATTGATGGAATGGAATGATACAAGTTAAAAATAGAAACCACTGTATCCTGAATTCATTGGCTTAAAATTAACATAAACTTACAAAATCTCAATGTTTTCTATTCACTTCCTTCTGAGGTTGTGGGTTTGTACGTCTACGAAGTCTTAATTTAAAAATAAAACAGCTTAGTGTATCTTCACTTCTAGTGGTTTTGAAGCTGTAGTTAGTCCATCATGAAAATGACCTTTCTTAATTGTATCTGAAAAACGTCATTTATTTTACGTTTTATTTATGATCGATAGTTGTACAGAAAACTTTTATGGATTTAACACATACAATGTTTCACTTTGGGTAATGCAATATATATATATATATATATATATATATATATATATATATATATATATATATATTACGTCATACATCGTGAACAATTTCTTGTCAGTATTTATTTCAAGTGTGTCTGGATTTCTATTGATTTCTGTAACTGATAGCACATGTTTTTAAAGCATTTTACACGCTTGTTACATGTGTTTTTTTCTTTTTATAGAACTTTTTAAAATCTGAAATGGGTCTTGGTCTGCGTGTTATGGAAGGTGTTCGTATGGATTTGACTATTGATGAAATTAGTAATCTTTTACAAAGTTTCCGTAAACTTGATCATGACACTAAAGGATATGTTTCATTGGATGATTTACGCAAATTTTGTACTGTAAGTTGTTATCAAACCAAGATATCTTGATGGTTTTTTCTGTATTCAATTTGTTAATTACCACCGATATTTTAGAAATACTTGTAAAATGTTTTGCTGTTTCCCATAACTCTTGTTACTGTGTACATATTTATTCCCTAAAGCTTTAATGATTCATTTGAAGTTTAATGTGTTAATTATTTAAATTTTCCAAAATACAATAGCTAATCACTTTTTTTCAATCCACTGAATATATATAATTTATTACTAATCTAGTCATATGATGTAATAAGACACTTCTTACAAAATGATGGTGTCAAATTTTGTCATGACTTTGATGAATTCTTAATTTCCGCATCATGGTTAAACAATCATTAAAAGACAGGAAGTGCCAGATAACTGTTTCATCTTCGTATTATACTCCTCATCAGTGCTCATTCATTGCCCTATGACCTTCAGGCTTTGCAAAAAGCGCCTGATATTCAAACCACAATATTGACATCCAATGGTTTAGATTTCAAACTTCAGTGGATCTTTAAACTCACAAACCTCCACAGCATTCTATAATAATTTCATTTGACTTTAAACGCTTCATTGTTGTAAGTATTAATCTTCTAAAAGTAACTAAATGTTACAGAATTTTTACGTCAACGTATGTCATAGCATGTTTTAATTCAAATATGTTTTTAATGAATTTATTTTTAAGACAAAAATAGTGTATTTATTTATGGAGTTTTATTGAATTTGGTAAACTGGTTTTGCCAAAAAATTACAAACTAAATTAATATACAATAAATATTTTGATAATTCTGTAGACAATGTACCTAATATTGATTCCTTTCCATCTTGTTTAAAGTACAATTTATTCAAATAATTAATGTGTAAGGACAATCGATTGTATAAATGTTTCATGTAATAATCAGACTCCATAAAATCACTGTTTTAGCATTTTAAAGAAAACTAATTTTAGAAATAACAATATACTATAATAATTAGAGATGGATAGTGGCTAGCAGTGGAATCCAGGACGCGCGTTTCGTCCTGTTTGGGACTCGTCAGCTGGATGTACCTGCATCTCAGAGTTGATGTTCACTCTGGGACTCGAACCCAGTACCGTTCGCTTCAAACGCCATCGCTTTATCCACTTAGCTAATGAGTCCTGATAACGCGATGGCGTTTGAAGCGAACGGTACTGGGTTCGAGTCCCAGTGTGAACATCAACTCTGAGATGCAGGTACATCCAGCTGACGAGTCCCAAACAGGACGAAACGCGCGTCCTGGATTCCACTGCTAGCCACTATCCATCTCTGCTTATAATGCTTGTAAATTAAGGCAATATCGAGGCATACGCACAGTATGCACATATGCCAATAAGAGACTGATCAACTTCAGTCGTAAAACATCAATGGGAAGATTCAAATAAAACAATATCAAGTGTACTATAATAATTGTTTAAAATTACACAATACACTTATATTTCACTATAAACTATTAACTTTAGTGAATAAACTAACTATGAATATAATTATATAACTTAAGTAAATGAAATCTTCGCTAAAACAACTTTCTTCACTGTTCTATTTTTATGTTTCTTTAATTCTATATTCATTAACCAAGTTTACACTTTCTATCCGTAACTTTGAATGATTTCAAACACCTCAATTTCTAAGGGTTTTTTTTATGACTTGCCTAGGTAGTTCTTTTTGGAAATAATAACGTTTTAAATGGTTTGTTCACTGTAACCATTAAGTTCATTATACATTTGATAAAGTGAACAAACTAAATTATCTGAATACAATTTTAATCATGTATTAACATCAACTGATGAAGTATCAAAAGATCAACAATCAATTATTTCATTTTATTTTCAATCTCTTCACTTTAATTGTCAGTTATTTAGGACTTGGTGTGATATAACTCAGAATCGTTTAAAATGGCTAAGATTTATTCACTCCTCTTATTCCACTAAATCTTGGGCTTTGAAATTACTTTATATTTTTCATTCCATGAATTTACTATTAATTACTAACAATAGTTTTATTTAAAATTATGTTTAGTATAGTATTAAATTTTCAGCATATTATCTACGTCTAATGTTTTCTACTACTGTAACATTTAACTTTGTAATTTCATCTCAATATACTGATACAGTATAGTGACTTGGATCAACACAAATGAGTGTCAGCTTCTATTTTGTTTATAACTAACTGATCGGATGATTATTTAGCTGAGATTATCAGTTCTCGTTAAAATCTTTTTAACTAAGCTAACTTTCTTCAAGCTCCATATCTGAATAATAGTAATAATAACAGCAATATTCTTAATGTATTTCATGAATGTTTTTACAAATAATATTTATTAACCTTTTTAGGAATCTGGTGAATATGTTAGCGAAGAAGTGTTACAGTCTACTTTGAATACAATGGATATTAATAAGAATGGACAAGTTGACATGTCAGAATTCTTACAGGTATGTTAAAATAGAAAAACTTTCTCTCTGATGTTTTATTTATTTATTTCATTGGTTCTCGAAAGATAATTCTTAGTTTTTTTTTATTTTCTCATCATTTTCTATCTATATATTTCAGGTAATTCTCATTTAAAAATTTTATTTTTAACATTCAATCAGATTCTTTACTCTTTTCAAGTTGAAAAACATTAATGCTCATGTTGTTTGAAATAACAAGTCAACATTCTTTGTTTTTAGATATTTAAATAATGAAGTGATCACTTGGTTGTTAGGTTGTTCAACTTTTAACCGATAGATTTCAGATTCAAAAGTCGATCCACTTGTTATGGTTTAGATAACCGGCTGATATCATTAAGCTTAACACAAATAGTGTGAATAATTGTTGAATACGTACAATTACATGTAGTAGTAATTGATTTAAATTAAATACATTATCTCTTTTTCATATGAGTTTCTCAAAAAAGATAAACAATAACAATCCTATGTTGTTAAGGTGATATCGGTTAGCTCCAGTTGTTTGCAGATATTTTCTACTTGTTTTAAATTGTATACACATTCCAATTTTCTAAAAGGGCATATTGCACTGAACACGTTTTTTTTTTACAAAGTATTGTTATATCAAGAAATTGAAGTAAAAACGTTAATAAGTCAATTCCAATAAATTCCTTCAAGTTTACGACATGATCACGAATTCATACTTCTGATTGTAAACTGCATTTGATATCTTTGCCAATCATTTACGCAGCCATTTTAATGGTTTGGAGTTATTAATTTGTATAGAAACTTGCTGTTATATACACACACGCCATATCATAATTCTGCTGTATGCATTTGCCTATGGTTAAGTTTCTAAAAAATGACGAAACTGGGCTACTTATTGCTTTAAGTATATTCATGGAAGTTAATTTCACTCTTAAATTCTTCCACTTACCACGAAGTATTAATATTAGTGTATTAATGCATATGAATATGTAGTCCGATTGGCTTAACTATGATCGCTTGTGTTAGTTGGGGTTTTGAATCAACTGACCGTAAGTTGTAGGCCTAGTTTTCATGCTAGTTGATAATCACCATCAAGTCGTATCTTCAATGTTGACTGAACTAATGCTCTTCGTATATTTTGAGCTAGTATCGCAGTGTCATAGTTAGAGACTTAATTACTGAGATATTTGGACCGTAACTACTGAATTTCTTTAGGGCTGAAATATTTACCATTCAATAATAACCAATTAGATATTCTTCTAGTTCTTAGTGCCGATCAATTTCTATCGATTAATTTCAATTTGGATACTAATTTGAGTTATTATTTTGTCAGTTCAATCCTGTGCCATCGAATCTACCTTACACTACATCAAAGGATAGACATATTGTTGCTAATTGTAATCGTTAGGGTTCAAACTAGAGACATGGGAAATACTCCTAACACAATACTTGGTCTATCATAACTAGATAATTATCAGAATGTGTTTTGTGGAGAGATTTTAGAAATTTTCACAGATTGAAATCATAAGTCAGTTGAAGCTAGACCACCATTGAAAACCTGGAAGCACTGGATGGCCGTTTCGTCCTAGTATGGGGCTCCTCAGCAGTGCGCATCCACGACCCCGCGCCACTCGAGGCTCGAACCCAGGACCTGCTGGCTTCGCGCGCGGGCACTTAACCACTAGACCACTGAGCCGGCATCCAACGATGTTAATGTCTAACTTCAACCAATCCACGAAGTTGCGCTACCGTACACCGTTGTCTTCAGTGAGTTCCTATCTCACAACAGACCTGGTTGAACTCCACTGGTAACGACTTCTCACTAGAATTTCAGAAGTATCTCCTGAAGTCAGTCACTAGTGAGTAGGTGATTCCAGGTTTTCAATGGTGGTCTAGCTTCAACTGACTCATGATTTCAATCTGTGATAACTAGATAAATCTACGATTAACACACAACGACACTTCAAAAACTAATTCACACAAGCGAGAAGAGATGAGACTAGACTTTGTTAGCTAGATTTTCTGCCTCTAAGAAGAAAACAATAAAGTATGTGAACATCTCAGTTTATATAATGTTTTAGAAAACAAAGTAACTAACAGGACTGCCTTATTTCAGAATTTACGATAATGTTGTGGTACAAAGGCCCACATTGATATTTCTAAAGAAACCCTGACAAATCAGCTCGAACACAAATATTTATAGATCGTGTAGAAGCCTGGGGCACATATTTTCTTTGTAAGGATTTATATTTTCTCGTTTTTGATGTTAAGGGATGCAGTTGTCCAGTCTCTGCACCCGTTACGTTACACAAGTTAGTGGCTATCTGAATTTCGTAGTTCGACGCATAACGCTTTGGTGTTTGAAGATAAAAGTTGGACGATGTACCATGTGAAAATGGAAAATAGAATGGTTGTACACCCAGAGGACCAGTTCCAAGTGGGATGAAATAAGTTATTCAGATTTCACTGCTAGTCACTATCCAACTTTAATAAAGACTTGTGAATAAACGAAAATATCGAGGCAACCAACTCAGGATGCATTCATATCAATTGTAGATCTTAACATAAACAACAGGAAAGTACAAACCCTTTAAAAGAAATTCGAAGATTTTAATTACTAAAATAATTATTCAATTTACTATTGTTGTTAATTTTTTTGGATAATTACACTTTGTTGTAAAAGATATTAATTCTTTGTCAAGTTGTTTTGTGTCGTCACGGCAGTTCATAATGCTTTCGACTAGAATACCTGGTTAGCGGTGTTTTAGAAAGGATGTTTTCTGAGGGATGGTTCCTACTAGAAGTTACTCAACAAATCACAATCACTATAGGAATACATTGAAATCTAAATGGAATAGTGTGTTTCATTTGATACTTTGTGAACAGATTTTCTTACTATCGTGTTTTATAATTTTGCATATGCAAATTACTTTTTTATTCTCATATAAACTTTTTTTGACAAGAATTATAAATTTTAATTATGAATAGTGTTACAATACTGGCTCTTCAGGGAAGTCAAATTTATTTACCTCAGTGTCCTATATTAATTGTAACTGATATAAAGATGTCAGTGTGATAAGTTTACGACTTGTTTTTTGTCTACGTTGGTATTATTTTACTTTTATCGATAAATTCTTTGAAACTGTAAACTGTTAGTGAGGTCAGTCAGCTTTTCATTACTGCATTGCGCATTCAATCACTGTATTAAACTTGTTAATATTCTTTTCAATGGTGTACAATTTATTCAGGAAATAACACATTTTTTTAACCTAGTTTTTTGTCTACCCAATCAATTCACTGAATACTGAACCGTTATATATGAGTAAGAAAAGTGATAATGATGATGAAGTGGTCAAATTTATCTACCTAATTACGATTTATTAATAATAAAGGACGTTTACCAACGATCATTGTCCATAGGTATGGTATGTCTTTTACACTTTCTAAGTCCAGAGTACCATTACCTGGAAATAAACTTTTCGGCTTTGGGTATACGGATGATCATGTCTTATTTTGAGACGATATCCAAGCCATGCAATCCGTACTCAATCAGTTGGCAGACAGCATCCGTGGGTATGGGATTTATTTTGCACCTTCTGAGTGCAAAGTACTATTAGAAGACTGGCAGAAGTTTGTCCCTTCACTCACTGTTGTTGGTGAGCAGATAGAATTAGTGTAGAAGTTGGTATGTCTGTGTAGCTGTGTAAATGCTGGTGGTGGCGTGAGTAGTGAGACCAATTCACGTATGATAAAAGTTCGTTTATGTTATTTCGACGTGTGCAGTCTTTGGTGCTTTTGTGTTGGATCTACGACACGTGGATTAGAGCAGTTGTGCTATGTGCTTTCTAATCCTGAACTGACGGAGTTGAGGATGTTAAGTGACTCTCTGTGTTTGATCATCGTTATCTGGGAAGTATTTGTGACATTCAGTGGCAACACGATTTCATTAATGTTAGAGGTCCTGGAACGTATGTTCAGACACAATGAGGATAATGCAATTGGTTTGAACATATTGGAACGCTGTCTTAGTTTGCTTAGATATTTAATACGAATGTCATTCCAATGAATTTCCCATGGTGGATTATTTGCGGACACAGGGAGTTGTTAGAAAAATCAGAGAGGTGGTCAGTGTATGACATGGTGTCGTGATATGAAAAAAGCTGTTTTGTCTCAGTTGTATTGTCAATCAGTCGTGCCTTAGAGAACTAACATTACCTAGATTTAAATCTACATAAACTTTAATAGCGTTTACATTATAACTGTTTATTTAAAAGATTTCTTCTATTTGAACTTCTAGAATTACATTCCCTGGTGTATTTCACATATTTTTAATTCCAAGTTATACGGTATCTGTTGACTGATCCTTTATATAATGTACTAAATCACTTTGATTAGAAATTTTTTGTGTTTACGTGTATTAAAGTAGTGTGTTAATGAAACAGACATATTTATTCATACTTTATTTGTGTTTTTGCTATCATTAGAACTTATCGTTAGGTTCAATTTTATCAAATCCTTATAGTTTGGAAATTGATTTTGATCAATTTTTTGTATTTCTAAACAAATCATGTATTCAATGTTCAATACCAGTTATCAAAGGCTTGAAGATCTGTTCAAGACAGTTGACTGGACACTTAGTGATAATCTTCTGCCTTTGTAGATTATCATTTTACATGTTTGTGAGCTATCTAAGATTTCGAGCTCATTAGCAATGAATCTTCAGAATGTAGATCAACCTAGTTGTCGAAGTAAAAACGCTTCTCAAATTATGCATTCATGGTCACTAAACTTTTCCATAGTTTTAAAGGTCTAAAGATCTATCTAAATTATTTAATTGGAAAAAACTAAAACATCGGTTCGCCACAAATAAGAGAAGTATCTGTGTTTCAATTTCTGTCACATTAAGAGGGGCTAGATTCCGAAGTAATTTGATTATTGGTTACGCTGAAGAAAGATATTAAAATTTATTTCTGTTTGACCAATAGATCCGTTTATACATAAGTGTTATCTATTTATTTAAGTGTTTACTATTCGCCTAACGACATCTGATTGTAAATCTTGTTATTTTGACATCATCAACATAGGAGTTGGCACAAGTGTGTGTTCGTTTAAGTTGTCATCAGGACAACTTAACTGGTTATAAACAAGAGAAGTGGCGTAGAGGAAACAGTATTAACAACACTTGAATCCTAGATGTGACCATGTTCATGAAGATATAACCGAGATCGAATAAATTGAAAACCTGTGAAAGGAGATTTCAAAGAAGATAGACACTGGATAAAATTGTGCTGCTATGATAGATTTTGGACTTTGTCAATTGTATCTAACCGCTAATCTGATTGGATGAGGCTCAATCAGTCAGTCAGCTACAACGTAGGACCAAACATATATATGCATCGCACCAAGTCGCCATACCTCATTAGCACAACAACATCAACACCAAATTCATAGAAGTAGTTACTTCAATGGTAGTAATATATAAAAGAAAGATTGCATATGAGGATATAGTGCAGGAAGAAAGAATTAGTTCCTAGAAAGAAAGATATAAAGCAATTTTAATCTCAAGGTTTAAAGAAAGACAAAGAGTGTATACACCTATGCCATCGTGATTGATTCTCAGCCATGTCACCCACAGTCTCCAACCATTGGCTACGATATAAATAAAAATAATATATTTGTAATATCCCAATGAGTAGAAAATTGGATTTTCTACTCATTGGGATATTACAAATATATTATTTTTATTTATAACAATCAACCCAATGCTCAATTTATTCGAAATTATCAAATCAAACCTTGGTAATGACACCTATTGGCTACGATAGTCACGCAGACCCTAACCAACTAGTCTGCGTCTTCCAACATGACTCAGACTAGAAGTTAGTGACTTCAATCAAACAAGTAGTTAATGACTTTGTCCATATCATAAAAATTATGTTTCTCAACTTATTCAGGAAATATGCTTTTTCATAATTTGCTACTTTAAGAGCAATAAGAAAGATTACAATCAGAAAAGTAAACATTGTTGATAGAGTTATACAGTTTCTGCTACCTAAAATATACTCTAATCAACTTGTTGTGAATGAATCTTTACTCTTTCACCGTTATTGAAATAGAATGATGAACTAGAAATGTGAAAAAAACACTTCTTATACATTCGTACTCAGATATTAAGAAAATTTTCATTCTGATCAAATTATATACAAACCTTCAACTTTTTTAGATTTAATTAGCTTTGTATGAACATTTCCTTCATTCACATATCTTACTTATAAACTATTTATTTTATTCATATTTCAATATTAATCATTTATGTATCATGAAAACAACATAGGTACTACGTAGTCAACTCATCCATCAATTGAATTCACGTAATCTTGATAAACAAGCTTAACAATCATCTACGTAAGGACATTACAAAGCAGATCTACAATATTTGACTTTTTTGAAAACCCACTATTTTGATCAAAGTTTGTTTTGTGCGTGGATTCACATTAACAACAATTCATTATAATGCTTAACACTGCTTCTGTTACAATTGCTTTTTGTGTTGTTGTTGTTGTTGCAGAATTATCACTGTTGCTGCCTCTTCTTATGAACATCCATTGTGTATTTGTCATTATTTTGCTACTATTTTTGCGCAATATGTGTCTGTGTATGTTTGTGGTTGACTTTACAGGTTAATTTTACCTTCCATAGTATACGTTTGTCAATTGAACACCATTTTAACTAGTCTACTTCACTCTCGGCTGTATAACTGAAAGTGGGATTGCCGTTGATCACTTAGTTGATGTTGTGTTTCCACATTTTCTGATTAACCGATTTAAAGTTGTGATAGTGATGAAAAGTTGGGTAATTTTTGAATATTAATTTAGTGTTCCTTGTTATTAGTAGATTTTCCTTAACGTTAGGTCAATAAGTTTTAAATTTTTATATACAAAGCTTGAAGTTTATATTGGATACTAGACTGTTTTGATTATGCCAGTCCAACTGTTTATCAATGTAAACTAATGCATATGTTAGACTGATCTTTATGAATCACATATATGATGAATTGTGAAATGATGAAAATAAGAGCATAAGTGATAGCTACTTTCCAAATATTCAACAAACACATTGTAGATTTCAGTTATCGCGAGCCAAATTATGAGATTGTTTTCCATTAGTCTTGTGGTCATAAAGCTAGTATGTATACTGTCTAATTAAAACTATTAGCATTGAAGCAGTAGTTTTCGAGAACAATATCGAGTCAGTGGATGAGGCGTTAAAGTTTAAGTTTAATCCTACTCCACCTACCTCGATTCCAGCATGCAAGTAGTACTGGTAACCCTAACACACAAACTGTAGCTCTAAGACGATTACATAAATCTTTGCTTGGCCAATGGACGATGTTTTCAATATCATTATCAGAGACATAACTGATAGTGAAATGTTGATCAGTAATTATCAAAATTAATTCTCGCTTTTAAACGTTCGTCTCGTTAAAACTACGTGAGTAAAAACATATGACTTAACTCTAGTTTAATCTCAACTAAGCTTTTTAATTAAACAATTTTACATCGTGCATAAATTTTTTGATGTGCTACCTGTTTTATTTATCAGCTCGTTGTTATTCGGTCCTTTATTGCATTGCTTTTACCCAATATCCTATGTTGATTATTTTAGTAAAATCACTTTCTCCCTATGGTATTCAAACCCTTTTCACTTACGTAAAGAATTAATATCGTCGTCGCTAAAAACTTAGAGTTTTTTCAAGAACCGTCATGAAAATACATGCTCATATTTCTTAAGTTTGTGTCAAGTTTTTTCTCTAAAATTTCACTTTCATTATTTATTTAAGATCATAATTCCGTTTTTCCTGAATAACTCTTTTTCACTTTCCTTTTAAATTACCTTCTATGAACAAGATGCCCTGTATACCGCTGCTAACAGTAATCATTTTTAATATTTCAATTGATAAGTACTTATCGCGAGCTATACTGTTGAAGAATCATGTTAGATAATTTCATCTAATGAATGGTATGAAGTACAAAAATGCTTCATATATTGTCAGCAACCAAAACTTACTACTCAGTCGTACATTGTGTCATAGTTTGAAAATACCAACTTTATAACTTACTGAAATGAAGTGCCTGTATTCACACTAACAATGTAGAAAGAAATTGATTGGGAGTTCTTTTTTTTCTAATTCTCCTATTATCGTCATTATATTTGCCTAATTACTTACTTGCTTTAATGTGCATTCATTATAAATTATATAAACTTTAATTAATAATTACCATATATATAAGTAATAATCTTTAAAATTATGTCATGTCAAATTATTAACAATATTTTGCTTATTCTTCTTTTCTAGTTTATGAGTGCAATAAAATCTGGCGTTGTTGTCAACTCACCTCTAAAGAAAGTATTAAATCGTACTCGAATTCCTGTTTATAGAAGTGGTGGTGGTGTTTGAAAGAAAACTGTTGTTCTGTTTAGAAACTTTCGCAATGATAATAGCAATAATAAGGATAAGTGTCTCTTATCTTTACTTTTTTTTCAAAAGTTAACTTATTTCGCTCTGTGTTGCCGATTGTGTTTTTTTTGAAGATGTTATGAAATCGACTACAAGAATGGTGCTATTATCATTAATGTTATTCGCCACTTTAATAATATCACAGATTTGTAGTTAGACTATCATTTTTTTCAATTTTATTACTCTTATCTAGGTAAGTTGTGATTGTTGTAGAATGTGTGCATGTATGAGTGACTTATTTTAGTAATTGTGCATTTTTAAAGTTATAGCGTGTATAGATCAAAAACTTACTTATTTTTTGGTTTAATTTTAGCTAGCTATATTATCATTATTCAATAGAATGCAAAAATATTCTTCATTCAACAATCGGAAAACTGTTTTCTATCTCATAATTGTATTTTTCGTCGTTATTATCATTAACTTTAGCTATTTATCACTTCCAAAACAGCATCATTTGTCCACCTACTACTGTCTATCACAGCAACCATTAGAAATTTTCACTCTTTAATCTTTTACCTGTTAAGAATTATGTTCAGTGTGTATCGATTTAGTTCACGAGTTTACTTTCTCGTTAATTTTTGTTTATATATTGCATTCTTCATGTCAACTATGTTCGAGATTGTTTACAAATTTTTGTTTGAGTATCCATACCTTGTGATAAAGTCAATACACTTATACAACCCTCCAAACGTATACGTGTTTATTATACGTACAATAGAAATTAAATGTATTTCGTATTCAAGACATAGGTTATCAAAGATCCGAAATCTTGTGTATATCTGACCTTCGCTGAACTGCTAGCCTCAGATTTCTGAGAATGACTTCTGAATTTGAGATATTCATTGAGGTTACCTAACAATTACTAGAATATATACTCATTGAGAACGTCTGTCAGGTTACTTAATTTCTTCCTGTCAGGTAAGGCTTTACTGAGAATACGAGAGTAGATTAAAAGCATAATATATGTTGTGCAAAGACTTGTTTAAATGTTTACCCGTTTGTTGGACTCAACAGTTCATATGTAAAACGTTTCCCGTTTATTGATAACAACACTCAATTAAAATAAAGGAAATAGAGGCTTCACTAAAATCCAGTTGGGAAGAAGTTTTTAATAATTTCTGTTTGTCTCAGGCCATCTTTAAAAGATAATACAGAGTAGTCAAATTGGCTGCTAATCTTGGATAGAAGAATATTGTGGGATAGTAGACATTTTATCTGCTCTCTTATTGAAATAAATCTTTCAGTGAGGATAGTAATACATTATAGGACTGAACCTCTACAGGTAGGAAAAATATAAACTGGGAATGTGTTGTTAAAGCGAAAATATTAGGTAAATAAAAATGCCTACTGGGTTACATTAATACAAATCTTAATACTGGCTTTCAAATAAAGCCTATTCTCGAAACACTATACGTTCAGTAGCAGTCATATACAGCTGAGATTTTAGATACGTTAAGCTTGATTAGTACTGCATGCCATTCATCCAGATTCATAATGGTGAGGAATATAACGGTTTCACTTTTCCTACTCCCTCATCTGCAAATTCATTTTATTTACAATCAGTGGTGAGTTCAAGGATTTCCTGAACAATATCCAAAGAAATTAAACAGACTTCAGCTCTTATAAGGTATCCAGTCTTTGGAAGGCTACTAGAATACATGTGGATTAATGTTAATGAAGAGGAGATTACTGCAATCCATGATATGGCAAGTTATGGCGTAATCAATAGGAATGAGAATAACATCTTTCTAAAATCGTGTGTGACATGTATTCACATCATCTATGCTTATTTGTATATTATTGTAAATTTGTGTTCACACCGTAAGCTGCTGAATTATTATTAAGTACAACTCAGTCCAAATTGTATAAGTATGACTTATTCGAACTGTAAATAAATCATAGTGTGATGTATTCCTTAATCATTTTGAATTATTTTGAGAGTCAAATATATCCTTATAGACAGTCTTCGTTGCTTTTATCGTGCGCTCAAGTTGTGCAAATCTAGTCTGGGGTTTTTAAAAGCGACTAAGAAATCAAGTTGAGGGTTTATTTAGAAGATTTATCAGTAATAAACAATACTGGTATTGGCTACGTCTGTTACATGTGGTCGTTGTTTGAGTGCATATATTTTGAATGTTGTATAGTTAACTCTCGCAACAGTGACCCTGTAAGCAGTATTACGAGGCGAAATGAATTTTTTAATGCTCTCACTGGTGGGTATATCTTTTATATATGATTGTACCACGAAGTTGTTAGGATAAAATAAAGATTGTTGACAAGTCTTTCTGATATAAAAGACTCGCATAAACACCAACAAAATGACCGTTTTCAGCTAGCAACTGGTTTGATCTAACACAAGGCAGCTTAAGACTGAATATGCTTGACAACAATTTAGCCCGTATGGAAAAAATATCACAATATACAAAAATTAAAATAAAGCAATGAAACCCTAAAAAGGAACACACTCATAGTTTACAAGTTGGTGATCCAGATTGCGTCGAGCTCACCAATGAAGATGCCACAGGTATTTGGAGTTTGATAACACTTAAACCAGTAACGCCTACTATGTATCATGCCCATCCAGTGAAATCAAAAGTTGGAAGCGGAGAGGTCCGGAGATATATTTGATAGGCTGATCTAAACTGGCTAGCTTTTAAAGGAGAAGTTGAGCACAGCGTTCCCATTTGTGATCTGGTGCGGATGCATGACCAAGCATATTTGGCTGGGTGAGTCCATTAAAACTAATGTGGTCAGCATCCAATGCCTAAGATCTACAGAGCTGTTTATTTCGGGGATTTATCGCTATGAAGCATATTTAGAGTGGCGTAGCTCATGATATTGGATAAAAGAGACATATGGTATGAGCTTTACGACATGTGTGTGCGGGAGTGCTAGATAATATTATTTGTAAGGCTTCTTTAACCCAATTAACTGGTAGGATTATGTCTATATAGCAACATATCTACGTTTTGTCGGATGACCTTCGCTATGTTGGCATGGAGAATGAATTGAAATTAAATGAACTTTCATCATAAAATAATTGCATACTATCATCGCTCCAAATATCAGTATGACTATAGCAACTATCCTACAACCAGTTTCGATTATGATTAATTTTGGTTAAGCCCTTTAATTAACTTAACATACATTGTTATTTGAACAGTAACAATTCGCATATTTCTTTGTACAGTTATGATCGCTACAGCGAATGACAGAGTTTAGCTGAAAAGTTAATCGCTTAAATATCATTCGGTGATTCATACTACTCATGTATATATGTACTCAAATCCTATTATTAGTCTTTGTCTTGCTGTGCCCGCATGCAGTTTGACTACAAATTTACCTATGTAATTGCTCGCATATACTTATTCAACTCTCCGCTTCAAGATTCCTCGATGTACCTATAGCTTAGTGATCTGAGCTATCCGCTAACAATAAAGTTTACGTAGAGGATATCCACTGATTTTTCATTAATCTTGCCACTGTCCATTGCTCTGTTGATATCAAGAGGTTCGTTGTGGAAGATAATCCTTTCGTGAAACCATGTTTTCCTCTGTCTAACAAGTTGTTGGTTTCTACGAATGTCATTATAAGATTTTGATCATTCTTTCCAGTATTTTAACTACGACACTGGTGTGGATGACGGATCTGTAGTTTGATGGGAGTTGTCTTGATCATATTTTTTCATGAATTGGATTAATAATCACATTCTATCAGTCAATAGGTAGCTCATATTGGCCAAGTGACAAATTTAGTCTTGTATTAAGTGAAACAGTAGTGTATTCTGTAATTAGCCTAGGGATTTTACTGTGCAATTCATGCAGTCCTATTGATTTTTCTATGTTTTAAAAATTAAGAGCACTTATTATTTAGTCTTGATCCAGGTCCACAGTGAGAAGCTGATATTTTGGGTTAGTCTCGAAAACGCGCCTGTGTGAGAACTTATCATCTGAGATCTACTCCCTTCGTAATTAAGTTGTGAATCAAACGATACGTTCTCGTTCTGTAATTTATGTCTGAGAACAGTCGTTCTGGCTGTGTGACTACAGATTAAACCAATCGTTTTTAACGTTTTCTCTGAGCTGCCCGCAATGTACTTATACACTTATTTCATACTGAAATTCAGCGTTCCATCGTATCTGATGTTCCAAGTTTGATGGTGACGTTCCAACAATTTTTCGGCTTCTTAAACGTCGGATATCCCGATTTATCCAGGTATAAGAGTGCTTTTCCTTCTTTTGGGCTGTCCATGGTAAAAATGGTTAACTTAGTTGATTGCGGAACTTTCAGAAATGGGTCCATGTTTCTCCCACAAATGCGCCGCAGTTAGTTTATCAATCGTCATGTCTGCCTTCCATACGTAAGGACTGGCCGGCTCAACTGCTTAGCAAAACATATCAACCATGAACTTGAATGATGTGACTGTACGATAACTTCTACCTGTAGGTGAGATGAATTTTATTTGACAGATATTATCACCGTGTGTGAAGACCAAGTATAAGACAGATGAGAAGTTCTGTGGGTTATAACTGGTGGGATCTCTAGTGCACTGGAATAAGGCTAAGGCTATTGTTCCTTCTAACGATTTGTAATAATAATAATAATAATAATAATAATAATAATAATAATAATAATTTATTCTCAAATAACAGTTTATTACATGAGACATGCAAGTTTACAGGCAAGATCAAATTGATACAAATGATACAATATACACTGTAATAAATTACATAGCTGGGTTGATAATTTATAAGATATGAATGTAGATGGTTTGAATCAGTACTACAGTTGGCGCGATTTATGAAAGTTGCGTTGCGAATGTGCGACTGATGGTCAAGGATAGGTCCCTTGAAGGTATGAGCTTTTAGAAATCGCAACCTTATGTCCCTTTGGGATATCCAAGGCTTTAAGGATGGTGCAGGATGAAGTCACCAGTTCCATATCTCAAGGGGGCTGAAAGAGGGAGCAAGTAAAAGAAAACACGAGAGGCAGAGTAGCCAATATTCATGAAGGAATGTTTAAGGTATGATTACTCAGTCTAATTTTCCTTTATTAAGGTATTTGTTAAGCAAGAGCATTTTAATAGGTTAAAGAAAATAAGTGTTGACAAGGTGTGAGTGGACATACAACTGACTAATGGGGGCGATTCGGAAAAGGGCTGAGAGTATAAGATTATGTGTGATTATAAAATAAAATATAGTGCTAGAAACAATATTGTGATATACATTTGGCTGTCTTCCCTTTAATATCGAAGCTATTAGAGCCTCTTTCGTTTTTTAAAAAATATTTTTCCCCCAGTTATTATAGGGTCTTGATTAGGCTTCGTATATTAGCGATGTTTTTGATGACTCTACATCTAAGTTTCCTAACTTTATACAAGATGCACTAAAATCACCTGCTATGTGGCCTTTACACACGTGCACCCAGGATTTAAGTGTATTTAGAAGAAAGCCATCCAATACATATTCTCTACTGCAAGATACGACCAATTCAGCATCTTACCGTTTACATTTCATCTGAGAACGCTCCCGTTAACATGCCATTGTCTCAAGTGCCAATGTTTCGACAACTGGTATAGTTAAGGTGATTCCCGTGTACAGAAAAACCTCATCACATGTTAGAGGTAAATAAACCCTGAAACAAACACCTCTGAAAGTCTTCATTATTTGATGCTTATCTCATTGGTTTCAACAGACTCACCCTGATGAAGTCGATCATGATGCATCTGCACCAGATCACGAATAAGTACGCCGTGCTTCTCTTCTCCTACAACCGCTAACAGGCTCAGATTAGTCACTTCTCGATATGTCGATATTCTATATAATCTATCTTCAAGCCTCTGTGCTTCTGACTTTTGAATTCACTGCTTTGGCGCGTTTCGATCATAAATGGTGTTACTGATTAAGTAGTTGCTGAACTCCGAATACTTGTGGCATCTTTAAATTTTGCAGTTTGGTTTGTCAACCCTAAAAAGTGATAGACTAAGTTGTCACGTCCAAGTTTTTGCTCGTTCACTTTATTGAAGTGAGGTATGTCGATCTATTTGCAATATCACGAACCCAAATTAACAATAGAACCAAATTTCAATTAGATACCAAAGTTTATTCGCGATTTGCAAATAGTCGACCCATATGTCGTTCTAACAGCAATAATTACAACAATTACAAAACAAACCTTCAATTTTATTGGTTCCCGGAGCAAAAACTCCCAAACACCAAACCAATGACAAAGAGAAACCGGAATGTCCGAAAATAATGATAGAAACAAACAAGTTCAAATGGTTGTGGACGGAATAGAAGAAGCTTTCGCTTAACAAGCTTCCGTGTCTAGTAGCAGGGGATCACCAAAATCTCCAGGCAGGAACCTGGGTATATTGCCAAAAAAAGAGGAAAAATAAATTGGTAAATCATAGTTTGATTCTATCCTTAATCCTTAAGAATATATCAAGTTTCTTTTTAAATGACTCCTGGGAAGTCGCTTGGATTAGCTCGGCCGGCAGCGAATTCCAGCATTTGAAAAATCTTAAGGAATAGAAGTTATGTCTACAGTCCGTACTGTTATGTTGTGTCTCCAGTTTCTGGGTGTTACCTCTTAGGTTAGTGTTCGAATTAAGCTTAAGTAGGTGTTTAAGAGGATGTCCAGAAGTGTTGAGAATATATAAGCCATCAATAGATCACCTCTAAGACGCCTATACTCCAATGGGTAAAGTTCTGTTGAATAGAGGCACTCTTCGTATGGTTTGAATCTGAGTCCTCGAACTGATTTCGTGGCTCGCCATTGGATACGCTCCAAAGTATCCTTAGCCTTTTGGAGTGAGGGGGAAATACTGTGTTTCCGTACTCTAAATGGGAACGGATAAAACCATTGAAGATTATATGGAAAGTTCTACCGTCAAACTGGCCAAAAATGCGCTTCAATTTTACCAGTGCAAGGTTTGCTCGGAAGGCATTTTTGTCACAGTTAG